TTCAGCGTCAAAGCGAAGCTCCGCAGCCATCAGGGGCAGTGCAGGACGGTGCAGTGCGGTGGAGGGCGGTGCAGTGCGGTACAATGTGGCGCAGGGCAGTGCAGTGCGGTGCAGTGTGGTGCAGGGCGGTGCAATGCGGTGCAGTGTGGTGCAGTGCGGTGCAGTGTGGTGCAGTGCGGTGCACTACGGTGGAGGGCGGTGCAGTGCGGTACAATGTGGCGTAGTGCGGTGCAGTGCAGTGCAGTGTGGTGCAGGGCGGTGCAGGTAATGGTGAACCGTACCAGGAAGTGTGCAGGACCGGAGCAGGCACGACGATCGGGCCGCACACAGCTCGGGGCAGGACGGGCGCGGGGGCCAGGAGCGGCGGGCACCAGGCCGGCGGGACGAGCGCGGGGCCGGCAGGGACGGGCGCGAGGTCGGCTGGGACGGGCGCAAGGCCGGCGGGGACGGGCGCAGGGTCGGCTGGGACAGGCGCGGGACCGGCTGGGACGGGCGCACGGGCCGAGCGGACGGGCGCAGGGGCCGAGCGGGCAGGGAGGTCGCGAGGGCGGGCACGGGGCCGGCTGGGACGGGCGCACGGGCCGCTAGGGTGAGCGCTGGGGCGAGCAGGGGCCGCTAGGGCGGGCGCTAGGGCGGCCGCTAGAGCGGGCGCTAGGGCGGGCACAGGGGCCGGCTAGAACGGGCGCTAGGGGCCGGTTGGGACGGCCGCGCGGGCCGGCTGGAACGGACGCCAGGGCCGGCAGGGACGGTCGCTAGTGGGGAGGCTGGGACGGGCGCGCGGGCCGGCTAGGAACGGGCGCCAGGGGTCGGCTGGAACAGGCACGAGCGGGCCGGCTAGGAACAAGCGCCACGGGGCGCGCGTGGGGCGGCTAGGAACGGGCGCCAGGGGCCGGCTGGAACAGGCGCGAGCGGGCCAGCCAGGAACGGGCGCGCTAGGGGCCGGCTAGTGACGGGCGCGCTAGGGGCCGGCTGAGACGGGCACGCTAGGGGCCGGCTAGGGACGGGCGCGCTAGGGGCTGGCTAGGGACGGGCGCGCTAGGGGCCGGCTAGGGACGGGCGCGCTAGGGGCCGGCTGAGACGGGTGCGCGGGGTCAGCTAGGAGCGGCGCGGCTAGGGGGGGGGGAACGGATGGCTAGGTCCTAGGGTGGAAGCGTGGGCGGGCGGTGGGACCTACCTCTCCTTCTACCGTCGCTTTCCCCACCGCGGTCCCCCGGTTACCCCCCCCTGTTCTTGGTCCCTCCTTCCCCAGTGGTCCCTGCCCCCCCCCCCTCCCCCTCCCCCTCCTGCCCCCTCTGGTGTGTCCCACGTCACCCCTCCTCCGTCGGTGGTTCCGGTTGAGGAGTCTTCTGAATCTGGTGGCCCTGCGGCGCAGTCCTCGCCGGCTGCCCCTCCCCAGGTGTCCCCTCCTCCACCGCCTCTGTCGCTGCCGCCGCCGCCGCCGCCGCCGCTCGTTGCCTCTGGGGGTGCTGGCGTTGGAGTGGGTGCTAGCCCCGGTGGCCCTGGGAGTGGTACCGGTGCTCGAGGGGTTTCCGGCCCTGGGAGTGTTCCTTCTGGGGGTGCTGGAGTGGAGTCTGCCGGTGGTAGCCGAGGAGCAGCTTGCGATCCCGGTGTCGGCGTTGTACGGCCGCAGCAGCAGTCCCCGCCGGTGTCTGCCCTTCGCCTGCTCGGCCTTCCGTCCCCTGACCCTGCGTCCGTTCCTCTCCTGCTCTTCCTGTCTACGGCCCTGTGTTCCCTCCGCCGGACTCGTCCCCGGCTCGCCTCACCCCTCGCTCTCCCCTTGTGTCCCCTCCTCTGTCTCCTGACCCGACTCCTCCGTCTCACGTCTGGTCTCGCCGTCCCTCCCGTGCTCGTCCTCTCTCCCCTGTCCCGCGCTCTCACCCTATGTTGCTCCGTTCCCATGCGTCTCGTCCTCCCCTTCTCCCCTCGCCTCCTCCGTCCTCCCTTGTCGTTGCTCCCCCCCCTCTGTCTAACTACCTTCGTGCCACTCGTCCTCTTGTTCCTCGGGTCCTTGCCTCTCTCGTTACCGACCTGTCTGTTCCGGTCTCTTGTCTTGACGCTCTTGTCGCTGCGGTAGCTAACTATACCTCTACCCGCCGCCTTGACTACGCCACCGCTCTGGTCTCTGACCCTGCCAGTCCTCCGTCTGTCGGGGGTGCTCCTGCCCTCGGCAGTGACGTCCTGGAGGACCGCCAGTTCGAGCTTGCTTTCCTGTTTGAGGCTGCTCCCCATCTCTGTTCCATGCTATTAGTCCCTGAGGGTGACCCAGACGCTTTCGACATCCCGACCCATCGCTCTTACGCTGAGGCGACCTCGGGACCCTGGGCTTCTCAGTGGATAGCTGCCATGGAGCAGGAGATGGCATCTTGGAGATCCACCGGCACCTTCGTCGACGTAGTTCCCGCACCTGGGGTGAACGTAGTCGATGGCCGCTGGCTCTTCAAGGTGAAGCGCCCCCCTGGAGAGCCGCCTGTGTTCAAGGCGCGCTACGTGGCTAGAGGTTTCAGCCAGCGTGAGGGGGTGGACTTCTTCCAGACCCTCGCTCCGACCCCGAAGATGACTACTCTTCGGGTTCTGCTACACCTAGCAGCTCAGCGTGACTACGAGCTTCACTCCCTTGACTTCTGCACTGCCTTCCTGCAGGGCAGCCTACACGAGCAGGTCTACCTGCGTCACCCCCTGGGCTTTACTGGCACCTTCCCTCCTGGGACCCAATGGCTCCTGCGTCGACCTGTCTACGGCCTGCGACAGGCTCCCCGCGAGTGGCACGACACGCTGCGTGCTACTCTTGCTGACCTTCAGTTCTTCCCGTCCTCAGCAGACCCCTCACTCTTCGTTCGTGCTGGCCAGACTCCGTTCTACATCCTTGTGTACGTGGACGATCTAGTCTTTGCCACAGCAGACAGGGACGCACTGGCCTCAGTGAAGGCAGAGCTGCTGAAGAGACACACTTGCACTGACCTCGGAGAATTGTGCCGTTACCTTGGCTTGCAGATCTCCAGGGACAGCGCAGCGCGCACCATCACCTTGACTCAGTCACACTTGGTGCGCCAGGTCCTTCAGAGGTTCGGCCTTCAGTTCTCCTCTGCACAGCCCACCCCTCTGCCTCTAGGCCACAGACTCTCTACTCCAGTTCCTGAGGAGTCAGTAGAGCCCAGTGGTCCCTACGCTGAGCTGGTGGGTTGCCTCATGTACCTGATGACTTGCACTCGCCCAGATCTTGTATACCCTCTCAGCATCCTGGCTCGCTTTGTGGCCACTGGCCGACACCGACCGCAGCACTGGTCTGCCGCTAAGAGGGTTTTGCGTTATCTTGCAAGTACATCGGGCATGGGGTTAGTGCTAGGAGGACGCGGGCCAGTGGTCCTTACTGGACACACAGACGCTTCTTGGGCAGATGACGCCGAGACACTCAGGTCTTCCCAGGGCTACTGCTTCAGCCTTGGTTCAGGTGCAGTCTCGTGGAGAGCTACCCGCTCCTCGTCTGTTGCCCAGTCCAGCTGTGAGGCCGAGATCTACGCCGGTGCCCTGGCGGCACAGGAGCTCCGCTGGCTGACCTTCTTGCTCACTGACTTAGGTGAGCGGCCTAGCTCTGCCCCGGTCCTGTACGCTGACAACAGGGCCATGATCCTCCTGTGTCAGGAGCCTCGACATTAGGGTCAGAGCGAAGCATATTCAGATGCGGTACTTCCTCCTGCGCGAGCTACAGCAGCGCCGCCAGGCTCGCGTACTACACTTGGCCTCCGGTGCCAACACAGCTGATATCTTTACGAAGGCGCTTGCGCCTAAAGATCATCAGCGGCACTGTGTACAGCTTGGTCTAGTTCCTGTAGCCTCTCAATTGCTATGGCCTTGACCTTGTACTGTCCTATATATCTATATGTACTCAGACTGGACCTGTGTGCTCTTCCAGTGGCTGGACTAGTAGTGCCGCCCTGGCCTTGCTCTTTCCTTGCTTGTACATCTTCCGACTGGTGTGTAGACCCTTGTCTCAGTGGCTGGATGTGGGGTGTGTGGGTGGATGGCTCTAGCGTTGGGGGACTTACGGTAACCGGAAAAATCAAGGGGTTGTGGGATGTGTGGGGGATATCTCTAGCCGAAAAATCGAAGGTTGATAATAAGATACATCTATTTCATGGTATGTACGCACTGTGCTCTGGAAACTCAGTACTTTGTTTGCGACACTTCGGATTTTTTCAGGATCCTGAAAATTGTACTATGAAGTTATCAGGATTGGGAAAATGGGTCATTTGAAAATTCAGGTTTGGCCACAAAAAGGGTCTGAAATTTCAGACTAATCATACTGAATAGTATAATAAAATCAGCCATGCGTGGGAGACATCTGATATGGGATCTACCGAGTAGAGAAATGGTACGCTAACGAGATGTTACTTCTACCTTATAGAATGTTTTAAACATTTCCCTATCGTAACAGAGTTCGTTGTAGAATGTACATGCAAATAGGGAGAAAAAGACTCGAAACCTCTAGACATGTTTTGAAATGGCTTTGTTGCTATACACAGTTCATTAGGTGTACATAACAAAAACGTTGAATGCTATAAAGCCGATGACGGATTCCATTTTTTCGATAAGGTGAATTTGCTGGTGTCGGGCCCCGATTGTGTATCATCCGTCTGTCTTCGCTCCGCGTTCGGGTTTAGGTTACCACCTATATCGAAAGTCTGATTCGTCGTGCCGCGCGGTAGGGCAGAACGAATGCAAAATTGAGAGCTATTTGAGGGCTATTGCACACTGTGATACTGTAAAGATCTCCTGGATTTTACTGAACAAATTTCAGTTCGGTCACACAACAGCAAGGTCCACACCCAGAAATTTGTTGTGCCGGCTTGGCTATCAGGAGCGCGCCTCGCCGCTAACCACTATGGCATGTGCGACTTGTTCGGCATGTGTGCCTAGGGCACGCGTCGATTCCACCTGAGGGGAACGCATTTTGCCCCTGCCTTGACGGAACGTGGCCCCAACCATCAAGCCCTGGGTTTTTGGCTACTTCACCAGACGGATAGAATGAGACTAGACTAGAGATTAGAACACAGTTCCGCGCCTTGTAGGTTTTCCTCCTACAACCAAGGAAGCGCGGTTGATCAACTAATTGTGCCTCACAACTACCTGCTGTCGCTCCGTCGCGTTCACTGCCCATTTGCCAAGTGCTAATATTAATCATCTGGCCATGATTTCATCGACCTTCCTTCGGTATACAGCCGATCTCTAGGTCCACCTCGTTTGACAGCTCATTTCCGACGCCCTTCCCCTCTGAAAGGCTGTGATAATATCAGTTATTAGTTATTGTTTCCTGTAGATTCGAAGAGCCTAAGGAGTCGAACCAGAGACACCGCCCAGGAGTGCGTGAGACGCGCACGGGGGAAAGGCAAGCGGCAGCATGGCTCGGGCTCCTGGAGCGATGCTGCTGGCAGCTACGACGACGTGCCTGCTGCTGCTGCTGCTGCTGGGTTCCGCTAGTGCCAAGGGCAATGGCCACGCGTTCAGACCCGTCCCCTTGAGCAGTGCGTTTGACCCCCCCGTTCCTCTCCTCGACCCTCGCCCCTCACTCCTCGCTCCTCGACCCTCGCTCCTCGCCCCTCGCTCCTCGCCCCTCGCTTCTCTTCCTCCCATGCCCTCTCACTTCTCTCGCATTCCGTGCGAAGTTCTTCCATATCGATTCCATCGCGTCCCATCCTAGGCTCCTTCCCTTCGTTCTTGTGTTCCTGTGCTTCCTTTTCTTCTGTCACCACCCCAAACTGATCCACCTAATCCCAAGACTGCCTCCCCTCCGCCTTTCCCCCTCCGCCCTACCAGTTCCCCAAATCTCTCACCACTTCCCATCGCTATAGCCACCATTCACCCCCCGAGTCTCCTTCGCCTCTTTCACCCCGACCCTCTCCCTGCGCTCCCTCCGCCTCCGCCTCCGCCCCCGTCCCCCCCCCAGGTCGCGTGCAGTTCCCCAATTTCCAGTCCACCGACCTGCTCCATCTCTTCGGTTCCGCCTCATCCTACCACCGAAAGGCCGTGCGCCTCACCTCCGCGGAGCACTCTGCGGGCGCGCTCATTCTTCGCACGCCCGTCGTGCTCCTCGACCGCCCGGGCAACTCCGCCAACAGCTCCGCCTGCCGCGCGCTCGCCTGGAGCTCCGTCTTCTCCTTCCGCGTGAGCGGCCCCGCGGACGGCTTCGCCATGGTGCTGTGGCAGCGCTTACGCAACCTGGGCTCCGCGGACGGGTATCTGGGGTACGGGGGTGGCGTCCGCTACCGCCGCTCGCGCGCGCTGGCGATAGAATTCGACACGTACCATAACGTTTGGGATCCGAAGCCCAGTTTTAGCGCCAGTGGCGCTGATGGCGGCTCTAGGGGCGGGATGGTATCGAGCCACGTGGGAATCAACTTCCGCAACTCGGTAAAGTCCCTCGCGGCGCAGATGCTGGTTGCGCCGCTAAACGACACCAAGATCCGGCGCGCGTGGGTGATCTACGACGGGCGCGACCTCGCGGTGTACGTGGGGCGCGGGCGCACGCGGCCGCGGCGGGCGGTGATGCGCGGGCGGATGAACCTGTGCGCGGTGCTGAAGAAGCCCGGGTTCTTCGTGGGCTTCACGGCGTCCTCCGCCGCCTCGCCCGCCGTGCACGATATTCTCAGCTGGACCTTCGCCGTCGCTCGTGAGTCTGTGAACTGCTCCGAGCCCTGCTCTGTGCCAAGCTTCCCGCGCTTGCCCTGCTTGGCGAGTGCCGTGCTTTCTGAGCACCGTGATTGCCGAGTGCCGCGATTGCCGAGTGCCGTGATTGCCGAGTGCCGTGATTGCCGAGTGCCGTGATTGCCGAGTGCCGTGATTGCCGAGTGCCGCGATTGCCGAGTGCCGTGATTGCCGAGTGCCGCGATTGCCGAGTGCCGTGATTGCCGAGTGCCGCGATTGCCGAGTGCCGTGATTGCCGAGTGCCGTGATTGCCGAGTGCCGTGATTGCCGAGTGCCGCGATTGCCGAGTGCCGTGATTGCCGAGTGCCGTGATTGCCGAGTGCCGCGATTGCCGAGTGCCGTGATTGCCGAGTGCCGTGATTGCCGAGTGCCGTGATTGCCGAGTGCCGTGATTGCCGAGTGCCGTGATTGCCGAGTGCCGTGATTGCCGAGTGCCGTGATTGCCGAGTGCCGTGATTGCCGAGTGCCGTGATTGCCGAGTGCCGTGATTGCCGAGTGCCGTGATTGCCGAGTGCCGTGATTGCCGAGTGCCGTGATTGCCGAGTGCCGTGATTGCCGAGTGCCGTGATTGCCGAGTGCCGTGATTGCCGAGTGCCGTGATTGCCGAGTGCCGTGATTGCCGAGTGCCGTGATTGCCGAGTGCCGTGATTGCCGAGTGCCGTGATTGCGAGTGCGTGGGGGGTTGCCGAGTGCCGTGATTGCCGAGTGCCGTGATTGCCGAGTGCCGTGATTGCCGAGTGCCGTGATTGCCGAGTGCCGTGATTGCCGAGTGCCGTGATTGCCGAGTGCCGTGATTGCCGAGTGCCGTGATTGCCGAGTGCCGTGATTCTGAGTGCCGTGCTTCGAGAGGTCGTAGGAGAGTGAGTTGATGTTTCCAGGACTGGTTAATACGGAAACTCCGGCCAACGTGAGCTGACGGCTCCTTAACTCCCTCTCGCCTGCCCATCCATGTCGATTGAAGGTCCGTTAATATGCCGTCCGTGTCCTCTCTCTACCTATCTCTCTCCCTCCCTCCCTAGACTCAACTAGTCTTCCCTCCATCCCGTCTGTGTCCCTTGTCTGATCCGCTCGAACCCTTCTCTCCCTCTGCTCCCCCCGCCTCCCCCTCACCCCAACCCCCAACTCCCCGCCACAACCCCTCTCCCTCCTCCCCATCCCCTCCCTCACCTCAACCTCTCACCACCAGCGGCGGCGGCGCAGCAGTGCCCCACGTGCCTGAGCACGACGGCGTCCAAGACGGCCGTGGCATGCTGCTCGCCGTTCCGCTGTTGCAACGGCTTCTGCCTCGCGCCCACGGAGCTCTGCGGCGGCAGCAAGTGCTGCGGCAGTGTGAGTGCGCAGCACAGCGCACGCCTCAGTGTCACTTGTTTACGAGGATTCTCGAGAACAGACTGCATGTTTCAGTTTGCGGCACGTTTCAGTTTCAGACTGCACGCTTCACTTACCGTACCTGCTTCCTCCCTCCACCTCCACACTTTTCTCATGCTGCATTTCTTCATGTTCCTTCACAGTCCTGCTCCCCACCCCCTTCTCCCTACCCCAAATTCTGCTGCCTTTCTCGTCTGACTTGTGTTCCCTCTGGTTCCCCTTCTCTCCCTTGTTACATTCCTGCGTGCGAAACGCGCAGCCTGCGAACGGCAGAGTGTGCTGGGCGAACAGGTGTTGCAGCGTTACCAGTATCTGCATGACGAAGGAGAAGAACGCTGTATGCTGTAACCAAGTTGGCAACAGCACATGTTGCCTCTAGAGTCTAATCACCCTCTTTTTAAGTGCGGCCATTCTTTAGTAGTTCTCTCTATGGACACTATCTGTCCGTGGAATTATTATTATAATAGCATCATGCACCAGAACTACCTGCTGTGTGCACCAACCTAATCAGATGAACCATAATTCTCTGCCCTAATTTGAGTTGAATACATTCCCAAGATCCTTTCCCCCTACTGGTATGTTCCTGCAACAAACCTTGGTCAAATTCACCATCATTCAACCTATCAAAATGAATGTAGCAAAAAACATTCCAGACGACGTACAATCGCATTGTGGTATCCTTGCTTACTCCATCTTGTCTAATCCTTGCCACTGTACCACTGTTCTCACAAACGTCAGCTCTCCTGCCAGGCCAGCAATGATTCACCACACTTGGACGAACCAGTGTTTGCTCCTGTGCCGCCCCACATACACACACTCTACCCTTCGACCCAGTACTTCTTGACACACACGAGAATGCGCCCGCTGCCACCGGGCCGGTTGGCTTCGAATCGGGCGTCCCAGCGCAGGCGCTTCGCGAGGGGCTGGATCGTGCGCAGCACGGCGTGGCTGTCGCGGAAGATGACCGCACCCTCCGGCCTCAAGATGCGGTCCATCTCCATCAGCACCACCTCCACCGAGCACCTGGCGGGGCGGGGCACAGAGGATAGAGAGGATGAGAGGGAAGGGTGGAGGGGCGGGGGAAGGATGGAGCATAACCGAGGAGGCGGAGTTGAGTGGGAGCGGGCGTTCCTTCCATCTCAGCACGCCGTCCATCTCCATCAGCACCACCTGCACGCCGCAACTGGTGGGGCGGGGCGTGGCGGGGCACAGGGAGTAAGGGAGGGGGAAGGGAGGAGGGGTTTGAGGAAGGATGGAGGAAACAAGGGCGGAGTGCTCCCTCAGGTCGCGGTCCATCTCCAGCGGCACCACCTGCACACCGCACCTGGTGGGACGTGCCGTGGCATGGCACAGAGCAGAGAAATGAAAGCAGGTAGGTAGGGTGGATATGCTGCGGATGGGGGAGGGACAGCGGGATTGGATAGGCTCATACCAAAGGCTGGGGGGTGCTCCAAGTCTCAAAGAACTGACAATGTTAGTTCAATGGACCGATCACTGAGTTTGGATGGGGAGGGTCACAAATGGTTCAGAATGCACTTCCTCTGAGAATCTGCCCAGAAAACCCTGAATCTAAGGTCCGTTGTCACTAAAAGACAGTATTGTTTCAAGATCTCACCTCTTGGAGATAGCAGAGAAGAGCCAGGCCGCATGGATGAGGTCGTACGTGCGAGGGTATGTGGAGAACGGCTCACACCTGGTAGGCCACAGGGCACGGGAGGAGGCACAAAGGCAGAGAGAGGGAGAGGAGGGTGGGATGAGCAGGGTGATGACGCAAGGCATGCACCTGCAGGGTGAGCAGCAGCAGTGAGCGTGTTGGGGTGACGAGATATCGCAGTGGGTGCAGTATTAGTGGCAGCACGTTTTCATTGAATGAGAACCAGCATGAGTGGTGCAAACTTGACAAAAAAGATGGGGAATGCAATGCAGAGGATGATCAAGCGAGGAGACACAAACTAGAGGAACAGTTGAGACTAGATGCAAGCAGAGAAGGAAAGACCTAAGAGATCCCCACACGGCCAGCGAGCTTACCAGTCCTGGTACGTCCCAATCAAGCCTCGCTCGTAGATAACACCCAGCGCCTCCCCGGGTGGCAGGCCCAGCGACTCTGTCTTAGCAGACACCCTCCACTGGTATCCCGGCAGCCCCGCCGCACCCACTCCATCCTCCCCCTTCCCTGCCTTTTTCTGCTGCTCCCCTACTTCCGCCGGCGTTTCCACAGGAACCACGTTCATCACCCATACTGGGTCTCCTGCCAGAGCGGCTGCGAAGGACCCGACTCCTGCATTCATGTCCATTACGTTGCGGTATCTTCCCTGGCCGAGAGCCGGGAGAACCGCCTCCTTGTACCAGGCCACTCGCTTCGTCCACCTGCGCAGGCTGTTGAGGAACCTCTTAACGAGGGTTTTACTATTCCCAGTGCCGTCCGAAGCAGCAGCGGCAGCGGCGGATGCGTCTGCGCGTCTGATGCGGGGGGTGGCTTGCGCGAGGCGTTTCGGCCAGGGGGCGAGGCGGGGAGTGGGGCGAGAGGCGCGAGGGGCGCGGGAGACACAGTGCCTCATGGGGGTGTACCAGGCGTCATCAGGGTTGTCAGACTCGGGGCATAACTCCAGCTGAACCTCTGCCACTGACCCATCCGCGCCCCCTCCTCCCCCTCCTGCCAGCACGCGCCGCGCCCCTCCCGCTCCCACCAGCTCACCCAACCTCCTCCTCCTCTCCTCCCCCTTCTTCCCAGCAAAGCACGAGTCATCCGCTCGTTTCTGCCACACGGCCACAGCATCCTTCTGCCCGACCTTCTTCCAGCACAGCGCAGCGGCAACGGCGCTGATCCCCTCGTCCTGTGCGCGCATCTCGGCCTCGGGCTTGCCCCAGTGCTTGTTGTGGTGCTGCCAGTCCACTGGCGGGCCTGACAGAACCCAGTACCCGCCGGGGCGGAGCAGACGGTCGACCTCGATTAGGTAGAGCCCGCCTGCGGAGGAGGGGGACAGAGCAGGGGAGAAGGGGGGTGCAGACAAGGGGGTTTCACGGTGACTTGTGAGTTGAAGGAGAGGAGGAGGGAAGGGAGGACGAGGAGAATAGGCAGAGGGTTACACAGAGGGAAGTGTGGAACACACGAAGGCGAGGAAGGGCGTGGGAGAAGACGGTTGGGTGATGCCTGGTGGTGGAGTTGGTAGACGGGCCTCTTCGTGGATGGTGGCTGCTGCATCAGCCCATTCTTGAACCCACCATCCCACTCTACCCATGGCCTCTCTCTCACTTTCCAGCTTTCCTCTTTCCCTCGGTCCTCTTTTCCTTCTCCCCCTACCTCTTTCCCCCCCTTTCTATCCTGCCCTCCCGCCCTCGCCTTCCCACATTCCCCGTCGTCCTTTCTTCCCTCCCTCGCTCCCTCCCTCCCTCTCTTCCTTTCCTTCCCTCCCTCCCTCTCCCCCCCCTCACCTTCGATCGACCACGGGATGAGGCAGCGCGAGCAGTGAGCAAGGTCAAACGCGCGAGCCGGGTACGGCTGTCTCTTGGTGGCCATGATGCCCAGCATGGCCGGCACGCCGCGCTCCAGGGCGAACTGCACCTGCGCCTCGTGCGTGTCCCGGGGGGCGAACGACATGGCCACCATGTTGTGGCTCAGCAGGGCCGCTCCGAAGCTCGCCACCTGCAGGGGATGGGGAGGGGGTTCGGGGAGGGAGAGAGGGGGGGGATTGGGGGAAGAAGGTGGGGGGGGGGGTTGCCCTTGACCATCAGGGGATAATATCTAGCCAACTCCACTGCACTCCATCTCGTCTCTCCCTTTCTCCCTAACCCTCCCCTCCATTCCCTCAACCGAAACCTGTCCAGAATCCCAAACCCTGTGCACTCAACCCATCCACAATGCACACAGCGCGCACAGACCCGTTGAAAAGGAGGGTCGTGGATAATCTCCCCCTAAACTCCCTTATCTCCCCTTCCCTTCCAAAACCCCAACCCTCCCAACCCCAGCTCACCCCGCATCCAGTATCCACCACCGTGCGCACAGACCCGTTGCCAAAGTCCGGGATAATCTTCCCCAGCCCCTTCACATACGCATCCGCGCCCTTAGGGAACATAGTCCCCCCGCCCGGGAACACAAACTTCTGCTGCTGCTGGTCGTACCGCACCCAGTTCTGCCCGGCCTTCTCCTCCGTCAGGTGCTTATACGGCACGTTCGCATACCACGCCCAGTCGCGGCTCTCGGGCCACTGGGGGGGGCTGCGGTACCCCACGGGCGGGGGCACGAGGCAGGAGAGCGCGTTGGACGGCGGGGGACAGTGCCTCTCGCGGTACTCGTACATCTTGCGGGGAAAAGCGAGGGACCGCCTGACGTCCTCGCAGGGGGTGTAGTCTGTTAGGGCAGCGTCGCAGGGAGCGAAAGACTCTGCGTCTGCTTCGGCTTCTTGCTCCGGTGCTGGCTCCTGCTTGTCCTCCTGCTCCTCAGCGGTTGGGGTTTTGGGGGGTTCTTCCTTGCCTGACTTCTGCTCCTCCTGCTGCTCCTGCTGCTCTTCCTGCTGCTGCTCCTGCTGCTCCTTCTGCTCGTCCTGATCGGGAACAGCACCACCAGCCGCACCAGCACCGGCAGCACCAGCACCAGCACCAGCAGCAGCAGCAGCGCCGCCACTATCGTCAGCAGCCTTATCCGCCGTGCTCTCTTCCTCACCTGCACCCTGCTCCGATTCTCCCTCACCCTCCGCCTCACTACCGCCAGATTTAGCGCCACTACCCTCCTCCTCTCCGCCCCTCTCTCCCTTCTCCTCTACCCCGTCTCCTTCTCCTTCGCCCTCAGCAGCAGCCGCCTCCTGCTCCTCCTCCTCCTCCACCATCTTCTTCCCCGCCCTCGATTTCTTCTTAGGGACACTTTCCTCCTCGCCCTCCCCACCAGCACCCGAATCCTCCTCCGACTCCTTATCAGCCACAGTGCTTGCTTTCCCACCAGCACCGGCACCCTCCGCCGCCTCTTCGTCCGCTCCCTCGTCTCCGCCTGCCTTGTTCGCCTTGCTCTCCACCTCCTCTTCCTCCTCATCCGCCTGGGCCTTGCCCTTTGTCTTGACAGCCTTCTTGCTCTTCCCCTTGGCGGCACCCGCGTCTGCGTCCGCGTCCGTATCGGCGTCAGCGTCGGCATCAGCAGCATCAGACTCATTCCCACCGGCTTTCTTCCCACCCGCACCGTCGTCCTCCTCCTCCTCCTCATCAGCAGCAGCAACGGTAACCTTCTTGGCGCTCCGCTTCTTCTTCGTTACACTCGTGGTGTCCTCCTTTTCTTCTCCTCCCTCGTCCGCACCCTCCTTCTCCTCCCCCTCCTCAGCATCAGCTCGCTTCTTCTTACCCTCGGTAGCCTTCGACGTCGACGTCGATGCTGATGTCGATGTCGCTGCCTTCTTCGCTTTCGGCTTTAACTCCGCCGCATCTTCATCCTCCGCGTCCACGTCCGCCTCTTGGCTGTCATCCCCACCTGCCTCTGCCTCCTCCTCCTCTTCCGCGTCCTCTGCCTTCTTCTTCGTCCTCTTCAGTGAGCTCTTCGTTACTGGCTTCGCGGGTTCGTCGACTTCCACCTCTTCTTCCGCTACATCAAGTTTCGACTTCAATTTCGTTTTCGTTTTGATCAGTGGCTTCTTTACGCCGGCTTTCTTCTTCAAAGGAGCTTCTTCTTCCTCTCCCTCCTCCTCCTCCTCCGATGCAGCAGACTTCGTTTTCGCGTCGGATTCCTTATCACCTGCACCAGAATCCTCATCGTCCCCCCCTGCTGCCTCCTCCTCCTCGTCATCGCCAGCAGCAGCCAGCAGCCAGCGTTGACCCGACGAAATCCGACGGCTGGCGACAGATGAGGAATCTGCCAGCTTCTCGCTGCCGTCGATTCCGATCCATGACCGCGAATCTTGAGCGACGCATATCGTCGGAAAGGACGAGAGCGACAAGGAGGCGAGAGCCAAGGCTACAAGGCCGAGAAAAGCGGGAATTCTCCCCATCCCGCTCTGAATCTATTCACTAGGGCTGCTCCTCGACTCCAGCAGATTCTGCATGCAAATTCCCGTGATATTTCTGAATTCCCACGGTTGAAGCCGACGGCCGCGAAGGAGGCAGCAATGCGGTAGATAATAATAAAAGTGGGAGGAGGACGCAGAGGTAAGAAGATCCTGACCGTCGTTCCCACCTCACACAAGAGGATCCGTGTCTGGCCGGATTCTCAGAAAGCTGTGCTCTGGTGCCTGTTGAACTCACCTCCAGCACGGGAGAACCAGTTTCCCGTAGAAAGGTCCTCCAGGGGAAGATGGTTTCCTGTTGTAACAACGCTGGTGGAGATGGTTGCTGCTGGGGCCAAGCTGGGGGACATGTGGTGCTGCAACGCAACGCAAGGCAGTCCTAGATCTCATCATCAGAATCCTGTGGTTGGACATCTGACGTTCTGGTTCGGAAAGCAGCCGAGATTCCAGATGAAGCGAAGCTGGGTGCTTCGGCAAACTCGGAGCTGCGGAGGAAAACCTAGCCAGCGAGAAACCTCCGATCCGCGATATTGTCCGTCCTTTATGGTATTCAAGCTTGCGTGCCACTCGGTTTAGAGAATGTCCTGAGTGATGTTGGGGCACCTATCTGTGGTAGATAAGAACTACAAAAGCGTACGGAAACGCAGAGAACCGTGCTGTAACTTCGGCGGATTTCGACGGATACCCACTCGGGACCCGCACTCACGGAGTTTCTTATTTCTTCAAGAGTGGGTGACATATGTAGGAATTGTAAGGTGCACGCATAATGTATTTCAGCAGTTACTGTAGTGTTCGTTCCTGTGTAGGTGCGGGACCACCGTCACATTATCCGTGTGCCCCTTTATTTGGTAAGTGGCACCGAAATAGCGGAGCAGCCAACATTGCACGAAGGTTTTCCTTGCCCAGGACATCCACGTTTGGAAACACAAGGCGGATGGGTTTTGTTTCAGAAAGTCCAAACATTCTCCCCCGAAAAGGTCGACGAACAAAATCTTCGTCCCAAAGGAAACGACCCTCAAACCACCCAGTGGGACCAGGAAATGCATTCAGAAAAACTGTTGCGAAGTACTGTTCTTGTGTCGTGTCTCCGCGGATGTCATAGGGTGATTCTGGAGCTCGTGTCTGACACGAGTGTCATACGGGAACACCCGAGGTGGAAAAAAATTGCATCGGGTCTTACAACTCCTGACGGCTGCTTGACTGGAAACACACCAGGGCTGCTAGACCCAAGGTTGAGCCTCTAAACCCCGCGGTTCCTTCGACCGCGGGTCAGCCTCGGGTCAGACCCGAGGTGCAGAATTTACCCATAGATGTCATAAAGAAATCGTCCCTGCGTTAGGCTCGGCCGAACCTAGCTCACAGGCAAATGATGTTCGACAATTGTGGGTGACACGACACAAGAACTGTCCTAACCTCCACTCCCAATTTGTGTAAAGATTGTGACCGGGCAAATAACCTTGCAAACGCAATTCCTTGAAGAACTCTACTCCCATCCCATGTTGTGTCAAGGGGAGGAGCACAGAACAAGGCACTGCTTTTGCAGCAACCACAGACATGCACGATCCCCTGCGTGTGCAGTGCAGCAAGTATGTGCAGCACGTGCGTGCCTGCTTGAACAAAACTGAGACAGCGAATGTTTCGTAGAGGGACAAGGTCCGCGAGGCACGGTTTGTGAATCGTAGACCCAGCCACGCGGGGAAGGACAGCTGATACTGCTTCTTGGTTGTTCCGTGCTTGCAACTCTCGTTCATCGTGATTCGTCGTCTGCGGTGACGCACACACCCCGTTCCTCCCCGTTTCTCGCTCAACCAACCTCGGAAATCTCCCAACAAAAAATACCCCGCGGCGGAAGCTGTCACGACCCGCTGATTTGAGACGAACCACAACATTCCGTCTCGTAGCTCAGAACGTTCTGGAACGTTACTACTGATGTCTCGTAGTTCCAAAACTATTTTTTCTTAACCCAAGTCATGGCTCAAGGCCGCCGGCTTAGCAACCCTAGACATCCATGGCGTCGGAAAAAGAGAAGCAACGATCAGTACCACACTACTAACCACACCTCTAATCACAGACGAGTATCGCCGCCATTATGGCCTCGTTTCTCTCCGCTCCTCCTCGTCGCTCTCCTCCTTCCCGTCCTGCTCCGCTCTTCAGCCTCCCCCACTCTCCCCCCATCGTCACGTGGTCTTAATACTCACTTCCAGTCTAAGTGGCGAGCCGAGCACCAGAGAGTCATGTATACTCAAGGCATGTCGTCGCCTGTGTCGTCCGGGCAGCAGCAGCAGCGGCCGCTGGTGATTGGCTGTCTCGTCAGTGCGGGCACTCCGGCTGGTGACCTTATTACAGCCGGTATGTAACGCTTACTGGTATGTAACGCGTACTGGTATGTAACGCTTACTGGTATGTAACGGAACGGACGGAACGCTTACTGGTATGTAACGGAACGGACGGAACGCTTCCTGGTTTGTAACGGAACGCTTGCTGGTATGTAACGGAGCGCTTGCTGGTATGTAACTGGTATGTCGCCCCCTCCCGCCAGCCGTGAGTTAGCAATGCAGCACCCCACCTTCCCGGCACGCCCTGCGCCTGTGGTTCCGGGATTCTCGAGGCTTCTCTTTTCTGTGCTCATAGCGTCTCAGCTCCTAGCCTACGGTCCCTCTCCCCCCCGTTCTCGAATCTCGAGCAAGGTAATCGCTTTCTCTTTCACCTCATTTCTGCTTTCATGCTCCCAGCAGCTCCCATGGAGCTAGCTAGCAGTGCTGGGCCTCACCGCCCGCCGTAACTCGTGGCACTGCCAGTTGGCATTAGCATCCCTCTTCTCCCTTGCCTTAAGTCGCTTTCCCACCGCTCTGCGTCACCCCCCACCCCCAACAACCCCCTCTGCCTCCCCCCTCCAGCCACGGAGCTAGCAGTGCAGCACCTCACTCCCTCCCCTAGCATCCCCCGCTCCTGGAGTTGTAGGTTTTCAATCAGAACTGAAAAGAAAAAAGAAGAGGACCCATTCCATTCCCAACGATTCCCTCTGCCTGCCCCCTCCAGCCATGGAGCTGGCTGTGCAGGATCTCACTCTCCCAGCGGCTCCCGCCCCCCTGGCTCTTGAGTTCGCCAACGCCAGTGCTGCTGATGCGTTTCAGGCCGAGGCCGCAGGTGAGTGAGGCGGGGGCGACGGAGGGGCGCGGGAGGGGTTGAGGCAGGCAGGGCGATGAGGGAAGGGCGATGGGTGAAGGGCGATTAGGGACGGACGTTCCTGCCCAGTCCCCTGCTTTTCCGCCCCTTTTTTTAATGAATTTCCATGCCATTCTATCACCCGCATTCTCAAGCCCTATCCTCATCTCCTGTCCCTCTTCCTCCCTTTTTCCCCTACCCCCTCCGCCTTCCCCCCTCTCCTCTCTCCCCCCTCCCCCCCCCCCCCCGCGACCCCTCCCCTCTCTCCCAGCGCTGGAGCTTCTCCTGGCGTCGCCAGCGCCCTCAGTGCTGCTCGGTCCGCCCACCTCCCTGCAGACGTCCGTTGTGGGGCCCATCGCCTCCGCCATGCAGGCACGTTGTGGCGTTCGTGCTGCTTGTGTGCGTGCCACACATGGTGACACGGTTCTTGTCACCACAGCAAGGAATGAATGAATGCCAATGCCCTTGTGTTCATCTTCCTTCCCGCCCGTCCTTGCGCCCGTCCTTGCCGACCGTCCATACCGTCCGTCCTTTCTGCCCTTTCCTCCTGTCCTTCTTTCCTTTCCTCCTTCCGTGTCAACCCACCCTCTCACGCACCACTTCCCCTCCCTCCCCCTCCCCAACCCCGTTCCCCCTTCCAGGTGCCCATGCTGTCGTACGCGGCCACGGACCCGCTGCTGAACGCCAATGCGCAGCTGCCCTACTTTGTGCGCATGCACTACGACGACTACGCACAGATGGCAGTCGTCTCCGGTGAGCGGGGTGGGGGTGGCAGGGGTGGCTGGGGTAGCAGCCTAGCAGGGGTGGCAGGTGAGAGAGGAGGCAGGGATCGTAGGTGACAGGGCGGTTGCTCTATGGCCTCGTTGCTCTGTCGCTCACGTTTCTCCCCCCCTCGGATCCTTCTTCTTTTTTGCCTCCGCACCTTGGTATGGGGTGGAAACGAAACAACATGGCATGGCATGGCTTGGCATGGCATGGCATGGCATGCGTGTCGTGATGTGGCATATAATGCCATTGCATTTTTTTGTATTCGCATTCTATGGATTCAGATCTGGTGTCGTTCTACAACTGGACGCAAGTGGTGGCGCTCTTTGAGAGCACTGACAGTGCATGGAACGGCTTCCAGTCCCTCACGCGCCTGCTGCAGCAACGGGTCAGTCATCATCGTTGTGGTTAGGTTACCACCCCACAGTTACCACCTGATGGTTACCACCCCACGCGGTTGCCACCAATGGTTACTAACCCACGGTTACTATTACCACCCTCCTGTCAGCGAGCAAGGTGCAAAAAAACGGTTTTCTTATTAAACGGTCCGTTTTTTACAGTCGTTTTATACGGCAGATTTATGCAAATTCTACCGTTTTTTTGTTAGAGTATTTTTTCCCGTTTTTTTTTTTTTTTTTTTTTTTTTTTTCCACCCTTAGCTTTAAAAAAACCGCTGGGAAACAGAGCGGCGACAGCCTACGTGCATCTAAAACACCATCCTCGTCTTCCTAGACCTGCTTTCATTGTCCTTCTCGCCCTTCCTTCACCCTCCTAGTTGTCCTCCTCCTAGTCCTCCGACTCTACTCCGGCTCTGCTCCTCCTCCTAATTGTCCTCCTCCTCCCCGCCCTAGTTCTCCCCTTCCTCGCTCTAGTCGCCCTCCTCCTCACCCTCCTCACCCTCCTCACCCTCCTCGATATAAAGCGAACTTCCGTTTTTTACGGCGGTATGAAAAAAACGACCGTATAAAACGGCCGTTTTTTTGCAGCAGTCAGAAAACACCACTTTTGACCGTTTTAATCGTATTAAACGGCCGTTTTATACAATCCCGTTTTATACGGTAAAAAAAGAGTAAAAAACGCCGTTTTTTGCACCTTGTCAGCGAGTCCTTCTGCTCCCCCTGTGACATGCTCCTCTCCCTGTTCTTCGCACTCCCTGCCTTTCCCTCTGTTTCCGGGCCCCCCTTCCTACTTCCCAGTCTCCCACACCCCACACCGCCCACCCTTGCTTGCCATGCGTTTTTGTCTGGGCAGCGTTGGCCTTCCGATGCTCCTTCGCACTCCCCACATCCCACGCCTGCCCTGATTCTCCTTCCACGCCCCCTCTCCTTCCAGGGGGATGTGATGGCGGCGTTCCTGCTTCCTTAATCATCCCCCCCTCCTCTCCATGCACCCCTTCCCTCCCGCCCCCCTATTCCCAGGGCATGGCGCGCGTGGTAGCGTCGTGGCAGTTTGACAGCGGGTGATCGTCAGGGGGATGTGATGGCGGCGTTCCTGCTCCTTCCCACCCATCCCTGCCCTAAGAATCACTTCCCCTCCACTGCACCACTCTCCTCTCCCCCCCTCCCCCAGGGCACGGCGCGCGTGGTGGCGTCGTGGCAGTTTGACAGCGGCGTGAGCGCGGAGGGCGATGTGATGGCGGCGTTCCTGCAGGTGCGCGCTGTGGAGGCGTCGGTGTTTGTGCTGCACCTGCACAGTCCCACCACCATCCGCCTCGTGCTCAAAACAGGTGGGTGTGTGTATGGGGAAACTCGAGCGGGGAGGACGCGGTTAGGCCTGGAGCGTGGGGCAAGAGGTTGGGTGGGCTTGGAGCATGTGGGTGGGGCTTAGAGAGCAGGTGCACGCCGTGGAGGCGTTGGTGTTCGTGCTACACCTGCACAGCACAGCCCCACAACCATCCGCCTCGTGCTCAAAACAGGTGGGTGTGGAGAGGAAGAATGCAGGAGGGGGAGAGGATCGAGGGGAAGAGGGTTGGGGGGGAGAGGGGGGAACGAGGGGGTAGGAAGGAAGGGGGGCGAGGGGAAAGGGGGGGGTGGGGGGAGAGAACAAGGGAGGTAGAGGGCTCAAGAGAGAGGTACTTTGATTTGATAGGTCTCTCACTGTCTCTCACCGCCTTTCGGCCTAACACTGTTTGTCGTCTCCCCCACGAGACACACGCACAGCGACGCAACTGGACCTGTTCACGGCTGGATCTGTCTCTATGTGTGGATATGCCTCTGCTCCATGCTGACCGCGCCCTCTCCCCATGCTTGTTGACCGCATCCCCTTCTCCTTCCATTGAACTCTCCCCCTGTCCCCCTGTCCCCCTGCCCTGTCCCCTTGTCATTCCCCTGGCCCCTTCCACTCCTGCCCCCCACCTGATCCCCCACTGCCTCTGCCCTCTCCCCTCCCCCCCCCCCTCCCTCCCGTCCTCAAACCCACGCGCAGCAACGCAGCTGGGGCTGTTCACAGCAGGGTATGTGTGGATAGCCACTGCAGGCGTCATGTCTCTGCTCAACGCTGACCGCGCCCTCTCGGCCACGCTCGTTGGCTGCGAGGTCAGAGGGCGGTGGAAAGGGGGAGGGGTGGGGGGGGGGGGGGGGAGGAGGGAGGGAGAAAGGGGGAAGGGGAAGAAGGGGATGTCATGTCTCTGCTCAATGCTGACCGCGCCCTCTCCCCCATGCTCGTTGGCTGCGAGGTCAGTGGGCGGGTGAAAGGGAGGAGTGTGGAGGGATGGGGGGAAGGGATGGAAGGGAGGGAAGGGAGGGGAGGGAGGGGAGGGAGGGGAGGGGAGGAAGGCATGGAAGGGGATGTCAGGCCATGCCATGTGCATGATGCTGCATCTGCATGTGTGTTGTGGATGACCCATGGCCAATGGGTGCATCACATGTCCCCCAACTGTGGGTCCTTCATTCAGCACAGACCTTATTTCCCCCTTTAACCCAACACACCACCCCCTCCCCTCCCCCCCCCCCCCCCCCTCCCCCCGTCTTCACAGGGCATGCTAGGCACGCTGCCGTTCGACGTGCCGACTGCGCGTCTCTCTGACCTGCAGCAGGCGATCAGGGACCGTGCCAACACCCCCCTAGCCTCCCTGCAGGTGGGTGCCGTGCGCCTGCACTGGGAAGGGAACAGGGCGGAGAGAGCTGAGAGGGGAAGAATGGGGCTGAGGCCCGAGGGGCAGTTAGTCGAAATATTCTAGGCGAACTAGCATCACTGCGACGCGACCCTCTCTCTCTGCCCTGCAGCTCTGCAGCAGCAGGCCACCAGGGACCGTGCCAACACCCCCCTAGCCTCCCTGCAGGTGGGTGCCATGCGCCTACACTGGGAACGGGGTTAAGGAGAGAGGGCTGAGAGGGGAAGAGAAGAGAGGGGCCGAGGGGCAGTTAGTCGAGGTGTGTGTGTTCTAGGCGAATGACCAACACTGCGCGCCAATCTTCCCAGGAGCAAGCCATCAGGGGGCCGCCCACTGCGCAACACCCCCCCCCCCCACAAGCGTCCCTGTATCTGGGTGCTGCTTGTGCATCCAGGACAGAGTGAGTGAGGGGCCGGGGCCGGGGCCGAGGGGCAAATAGTCAAAGGATGCTCAAAGGGGTGGATATGGAGGGTTGCGGAGGGGCGTGTTGTTAATGTAGGCTAACGCGGGGGGATGGAGGGGTTGTGTTGAGGGGCACAAGTGGTGGAAGGCCGGCAGGAGGAAGAGTGGGGGGGGGAGAGATGGGCCGGAGGGATGGATGGAGATTCTATGGATGGATATAGGATAGGGGGGAGAGGGAGGAGCGGGATAGTATGTGTGGGCAGGGCAGTTCTGTGAAGCGAGTTGAGGAGCAGGCAGGTGATTTTTGAGTCGACTCAAAATAATATGTGTGGGCAAGGCATTTCTGTGAAGCGAGTTGAGGAGCAGGCAGGTCAGGGAGGCAGGGAGGAGGGAGGTGGGAGGTGGGGTGGGGTTGTTGGACTTGTGTGTTGGAAGTTGGAAGTTGGAACTGCAGGAAACGCGCCTGCAGGTGGAATGGAGACTCCGCTCTCCACCTTCGTGGTTCTCTTTTGAGGATGGCCCAGTATTCATGAGTCAGGCAGGAATGAGTTCAGTCCAGGGCTTTCAGTTCCTTTCCCTCCTTTACCTCTGCAACCTCTTTGACCTCCTTCGCCTCTTTGACCTCCCTTGCCAATTTGACCTCTTTTGCCTCTATGTCGAGCACCCACCTCGCCCCCTCACGCACACCCATCCTCCCTTTATACCCTCTCTCCCTTTATACCCTCTCTCCCTTTATACCCTCTCTCCCTTTATACCCTCTCTCCCTTTATACCCTCTCTCCCTTCATACCCTCTCTCCCTTTATACCCTCTCTCCCTTTATACCCTCTCTCCCTTTATACCCTCTCTCCCTTTATACCCTCTCTCCCTTTATACCCTCTCTCCCTTTATACCCTCTCTCCCTTTATACCCTCTCTCCCTTTATACCCTCTCTCCCTTTATACCCTCTCTCCCTTTCTACCCTCTCTCCCTTTCTACCCTCTCTCCCTTTATACCCTCTCTCCCTTTCTACCCTCTCTCCCTTTATACCCTCTCTCCCTTTATACCCTCTCTCCCTTTATACCCTCTCTCCCTTTATACCCTCTCTCCCTTTATACCCTCTCTCCCTTTATACCCTCTCTCCCTTTATACCCTCTCTCCCTTTCTACCCTCTCTCCCTTTATACCCTCTCTCCCTTTATACCCTCTCTCCCTTTCTACCCTCTCTCCCTTTATACCCTCTTTCCCTTTATACCCTCTCTCCCTTTATACCCTCTCTCCCTTTATACCCTCTCTCCCTTTATACCCTCTCTCCCTTTCTACCCTCTCTCTCGTACCCAACCCACTCCCGGCTCGTCCTCTCCTCCACTGCCCCCCCCCCCCTCCAGTCCCCAGACTAGATGCTTCGCCACCAGGCTATCGACGCCTATGACTCACTCCGTTCACAATTCACCTCGTCTCCCAAGGTGACTTCTGAGTCGACTCAAAAGCCCCCCCCCCAACTCCCCCACACCCCCCACACCTCCCCCCACCCTCCCAGCTCCAGTCCCCGGACGAGATGCTGCGCCAAGCCATCAACGCCTATGACTCCGCTCACCTCGTTGCCCAAGGTCACTTTTGAGTCGGCTCCAAAGTCTCTTCCTCCCCCTTCCTGTCGTCCCCCTCCCCCCCTCCCCACACCCCCCCACCCCGTCGCCAGTCCCCGGACGAGATGCTGCGCCAAGCCATCAACGCCTATGACTCCGTTCACCTCGTCGCCCGCGCTGCCTCTGCTCTCGCCCACGCTCCCCCTCCCCCCCCCAAGCCCTCCCCTCCCCCTGGCCCTGCTGCTGCCTCGCCTCCCCCAGCCCCTGCTGCCGGCAGCAGCCCCAGCTTCCAGAAGCTAGAGGTGCATGCAGGTGCGTGCATGGCGGATGGGTTGGCCTGTGGGTCGGCTGGTGGGTGGGTATGGTTGATGGTGGGTGCATGGGTGCGGTTTTAGGCTACTCCAAACACATCCCGCTGCTGCTGCTCTCCCTGCTCCTCCCAGTCCTGCTGTCAGCGGCAGCAGCAGCAGCCCCAGCTTCCAGCAGGTAGGGGTGCTGGCAGGTGTGTGCATGCGTGGTGGGTGGGTGAGAAGGGAGCGGGCCGCGGTGGTTCTTTAGGAGGCTGGTTGGGAATGCCTCATTTCTCTGCCCTGGCGTATTTGGTGGTGCATGGGATGGGAGTGAGTGCACAGCCGGCCGCAGCCAAGCTGACACAGACCAGTAGGTGGGCTATCGATCGGTGGGTGCATCAGTGTGTGGTTGATTGATCGGAATGTGGTATTGTTCAGTAGCGTTGTTTAATTGCCCTCGTTTGTTTCCTGCACTCGTTTGTGTGTGTCTGCGCCTCTCTGTGTGGGGGGGGGAAGAGGGGGGGGAGCGAGCGCACATGTGTCTGTGCCTATGTGTTTATGTGCACATGCACGTGTGCATGTGTGCATGTGTGCATGTGTGCGTGTGTGTGTGTGTGTGTGTGTGCATGTGTCCATGTGTGCGTGTGTGTCTGTGTGTGCATGTGTGCGTGTGTGTGCATGCGTGCATTTGTGCATGTGTGTGTGTTTGTGTGTGTGTGTGTGTGTGTGTGTGTGTGTGTGTGTTTTGTGCATGTGTGCGCATGTGTGTGCATGTGTGTGTGCATGTGTGTGTGCATGTGTGTGTGCATGTGTGTGTGCATGTATGTGTGCATGTATGTGTGCATATGTGTGTGCATGTGTGTGCATGTGTGCATGTGTGTGCATGTGTGTGCATGTGTGTGCATGTGTGTGCATGTGTGCATGTGTGTGCATGTGTGTGCATGTGTGTGCATGTGTGCATGTGTGTGCATGTGTGTGCATGTGTGTGCATGTGTTTGCATGTGTGTGCATGTGTGCGCATGCGTGTGCATGTGTGTGCATGTGTGTGCATGTGTGCATGTGTGTGCATGTGTGTGCATGTGTGTGCATGTGTGCATGTGTGTGCATGTGTGTGCATGTGTGCATGTGTGTGCATGTGTGCATGTGTGCATGTGTGTGCATGTGTGTGCATGTGTGTGCATGTGTGTGCATGTGTGTGCATGTGTGCATGTGTGTGCATGTGTGTGCATGTGTGTGCATGTGTGTGCATGGTGTGTGTGTGCATGTGTGTGCATGTGTGGCATGTGTGTGCATGTGTGTGCATGTGTGTGCATGTGTGTGCATGTGTGTGCATGTGTGTGCATGTGTGTGCATGTGTGTGCATGTGTGTGCATGTGTGTGCATGTGTGTGCATGTGTGTGCATGTGTGTGCATGTGTGTGCATGTGTGTGCATGTGTGTGCATGTGTGTGCATGTGTGTGCATGTGTGTGCATGTGTGTGCATGTGTGTGCATGTGTGTGCATGTGTGTGCATGTGTGTGCATGTGTGTGTATGTGTGCATGTGTGTGCATGTGTGCATGTGTGTGCATGTGTGTGCATGTGTGTGCATGTGTGCATGTGTGTGCATGTGTGTGCATGTGTGCATGTGTGTGCATGTGTGTGCATGTGTGTGCATGTGTGCATGTGTGTGCATGTGTGTGCATGTGTGTGCATGTGTGTGCATGTGTGTGCATGTGTGCATGTGTGTGCATGTGTGCATGTGTGCATGTGTGTGCATGTGTGTGCATGTGTGCATGTGTGTGCATGTGTGTGCATGTGTGTGCATGTGTGTGCATGTGTGTGCATGTGTGTGCATGTGTGTGCATGTGTGTGCATGTGTGTGCATGTGTGTGCATGTGTGTGCATGTGTGTGCATGTGTGTGCATGTGTGTGCATGTGTGTGCATGTGTGCTTGTGTGTGTACAGGCGGGGACGCATTGCTGGCATCCATCCTCAGCAGCAACATGACAGGGGTGTCTGGAGAGTAAGTGCCGCCCACCCCAGCACGCGCATTATGCCGATCCCATCCAATCCATTCCTATGGACCACAGTCCGATCACATCACATTGCTATGGCATACCACACCCTACAAAAAGCGGCGCCTCAAAAGCCACCCTCCTCCCCCCCCCCTCCCCTCCCCCTCCCCCTCCCCACAGGGTGCCCTTCACGGCAGGCGGCGAGGCGACCTCCAGGACAGGAGCAATTCTTGTGCGTCTTGAGCGGACTAATAGAACGTCGTTCCTCCTCCTGTCCCCCTCTTTGCAGGGTGTCTTTCACGGCAGGCGGTGACCTCCAGGAGCAGTTCTTCCGTGTGGCCAAAGTTCTCCGCCATGACCTGCACACCATCGACTCACAGCCAGCCACCCTCTTCTCTCTCCTTCCCCCCCAACCCCACCCCACCCACCCATTTCGACCCCACCCCCCCCCCCCCTTTCCCCCCTCGCCCACACGGGGTGTCTTTCACGACATGCAGCGACCCCCAGGAGCAGTTCTTCCGCGTGGCCAACGTGCTGCGCCACGGCCTGCGCACCACAACTCACAGCCAGCCACTCTCTTCCCTCCCCCACCAACCCCACCCCACCCATCTACCCCCAACCTCCCCCCACTCCCCACCTCTCTCCCCCCCACAGGGTGTCTTTCACGACAGGCGGCGACCTCCAGGAGCAGTTCTTCCGCGTGGCCAACGTGCTGCGCCACGGCCTGCGCACCATTGCCTTCTACCACTACCGCGCCCCCCCGCCTCCCCCTCCCCCCTCCCCTCCGCCCTCCTCCCCTTCTCCCTCACCCCCCTCCGCCCCTGCCTCCATCTCCTCACCTGCTGATACTGCTGCGTCCCCACCCGCCCCTCCTCCTTCTCCGCCTCCTCCGCCTCCTCCCCCTCCTCCGGCTCCTGCTCCTCCTGCTCCTCCTGTTTCCTCTGCATTCCTCTCTTCCGTCCAGGTAAGCAGTGCTGCCTGCTGCCACCACAGGGCGAGCAGTGCTGCCACCACAGGGCAAGCAGTGCTGCCATCACAGGGCAAGCAGTGCTGCCATCACAGGGCAAGCAGTGCTGCCATCACAGGGCAAGCAGTGCTGCCATCACAGGGCAAGCAGTGCTGCCATCACAGGGCAAGCAGTGCTGCCATCACAGGGCAAGCAGTGCTGCCATCACAGGGCAAGCAGTGCTGCCATCACAGGGCAAGCAGTGCTGCCATCACAGGGCAAGCAGTGCTGCCGCCACAGGGCAAGCAGTGCTGCCACCACAGGGCAAGCAGTGCTGCCATCACAGGGCAAGCAGTGCTGCCATCACAGGGCAAGCAGTGCTGCCACCACAGGGCAAGCAGTGCTGCCATCACAGGGCAAGCAGTGCTGCCACCACAGGGCAAGCAGTGCTGCCATCACAGGGCAAGCACCCACAGTGCTCCATGGATAGCCCATCGGCTTTGTTGCCTTTGTCCGCTTCTTCTCATCCTCCCTGCTCTGTTGCCTGGTTCGTCCTAGGATAGCGCGTCTCAGCAGCACCCACACTCCTCCATGGATGGGTGTCTCTTCCTTGGTTGTTCTGCTGGTTTATTCTCTCGCTTTTGTCCTCCTTGCCTTCTTCTCTCTCTTCCACATTCCCCCACGTGCCTCCACGTGCCCCCACTCCGTGTCCCCCGCCTGTGGTGCTCTCAGATGGTGGATCTGCTGGAAGCCAGGCGCCTCACCACTCGCTCCGCTGCTGTACGCTCGCTCACACTCTCCATGCGTGCACTGCTCACTCACTCACTTCGTACTCACTCACTTTGGTCACTCACTTCTCACTCACTAAGTTCTCTTATACAACTCACTGAATCCGGTAGTCAACTTGGATATACACTTAATGCTGCATCCCAGCGTCCCACCCTCTCCCTCATCCTCTTTCCCTTTTGTTCTCCCCCCCCCCCCCCCCCCCCCCCCCCCCCTTTCCTCACACCCCCCTGCTTCCACACACACCCCCCTTTCACACCCTCCCTCCTCACACCCCCGCTCTCACACCCCACTCACACCCTCCCTCTCACACCCCCCTCTCCCCCGCGCTTTCACTCACTCTCTCCACCTGGGCTTGCTCCCTGCCTCCCCTACTGTGCAACCCCCAGGCCAAGGCGGTGGGCGTGTCAGCAGCAGCAGCATCCACAGCGCAGGCTGCCGCGGTGGCAGGTGCAGACGCGTCCCTGCGTGCAGTCATATGGCCGGGGGGCATCACAGAGGTGGGTCGGTCTCGTCGTGACTCGTCTCAACTCAACTCAGCGACTCACATGCCGCTGCTGAAGTGAAGTCGCTCTGTGTGTCTGCCTGGCTCGCTTGTTGGTATTCGCCTCAAAACAGCCCAGGCTGCAGTAGTAGCTGCAGGTGCAGGTGCAGGTGCAGGTGCAGGTGCAGGTGCAGGTGCGTCCCTGCGTGCTTTCATATGGCCAGGGGGGATCACAGAGGTGGGTGGGTCTCTCGTCTCAACTCAGCGACTCACTCACGTCCTGCTGGTGGAGTGAAGTCGCTGTGTGTGTGTCTGGCTGGCCGGCTTGCTGTCTTTCAGCCGCCTCAGTAAGCCGTGTATTGAGCCATCTTGAAGAAAAAAAACCCGCGTCCGCTCCCTCGTTGCCCGTCGCTCACCTTCTCTCCCCTCCTCAGGTGCCGCTGGGAGCGTTCCCCAAGTCCTCTGCTCCACTTCAGATCGCCGTGCCGAATAAAAAGGTGAGGTGGGGGAGGGCCGGTTGGCTTGAGAGCTACGCTAGGTGTGTTTTTGAGTCGACTCAAAACACCTCTGGGAGCGCTCCCCGAGTTTTCTGCTCCTCTTCAGATCGCCGTGCCGAACAAAAAGGTGAGGTGGAGTGGAGTGGAGGAGGGCAGGCCGCAGGGGAGCTACGCTAGCAAAAAGGAGACGGGAGGGAGAGACGGGTTGGAGAAGAAGAGGGTTCTTGAAGGGAGAATAAGTGCTAGGGTGTGGGTCTGGTCTGGGTACCTGTTGCCACCCCACTTTTCCCCTTTCCGCTGATCTTTTCTTCATTCCACATGATCAATCTTCTCCCTTCTTTTTCTTCACCCCTCCCCCACCGCACCCCCCCCACCCCCTTCCCTTTTCCTCCTTTCCCTCTACCCTCCCCACTGTCTTCCCCCTGTTCTCCTCCCTACCCCACGCGCCCCCCCCTTCCCCTTCACCCCCCCCCCCCCCCTCCCCTTCTTTCCCTCCCCTCCCCCCCCCTTCTCCCTCTCCACCAGGTGCACCACGAGTTTGTGTTTGTGGGCGAGAGCAGCAACGCCACCTCCTCCAGCAACGACAAGTTCTCGGGCTTCTGCATCGACGTCTTCAAGTCCGCCGTCGCGCTGCTCCCCTACACGCTCTCCTTCCAGTTCATCGCGTACGGCGACGGGCAGACGCCGCCCAGCTACGACGCCATGCTCGCTGATGTCGCAGATAAGGTGTGGTGCAGGGGGGGTGGAGGGGGAGGTGTTCTAGCTGGCAGGGTGGGTGGGTCGTTTGACCGGAGGCCCTCTCCTCTACTCTTCCACTGACGCCCAGATACTACCACGCCATGCTCGCTCGCTGCCGCTGTCGCCGATAAGGTGGGTTGCTGCTGGTAGGTGGATTGCTTTGAGGCGTGCGTGCTGCTGGAATGAGTGGCTCAAGGCATGTTGGGTGGGTGTTGTCGCGCTGCTGCCCTACACGCTCTCCTTCCAATTCGTTGCATATGGTGACAGCCAGACCCCCCCAGTTACCACACCATGCTCGCTGATGTCGCGGATAAGGTGGGGGGGAGCGGTTCTAGCTGATAGGGTGGGTGGGCCATTTGCCCTGAGGCCCTCCCTCTCCTCTCCCACTGACGCCCAGCTACCACGCCCTGCTCACTGCCACCGTCGCCGATAAGGTGGGTGTGTTGTCCTGAGGTGTGTGCTTGCAGCTCGTGCGAGTAGGTCAAGTTAAGGCATGCTGGGTGTTGTGAGACGGCCAGCCAGTCCCCGCCCAGCTACGGCACCATGCTCACTCGCTGCTGTTGCTGACAACAAGGTGGGTCCTTGATACGGCGGCACTTATGACGAGACGAGTAGCTCATAGGGTGGGTGGGTGGGTGGGTGGGTCGCGCTGAGGCGTCCCTGCAGCTTGTGTGATGATTCTTTTTTAGAATTCTCAATGCGAAGGCACCCTATGTGACGGCCAGCACCCGCCCGCCCTGCCCAGGTGCGACGCCATGCACGCAGCTGTTGCCGATAAGGTGGGTATGAGTAGCTCATAGCGTGGGTGGGTTGGGTCGCGCTGAGGCGTGCTTGCCGCTCGCTCGTGTGTTGATGAGTGGTTCTCTGGCCTCAAGGCCCGCTTTGAGTGGTGCCATTGTCCTGCCCATTTCCAGGTACGCTTTGAACCTACTCAAAGCACTCTCTCCGAAGCTTGCTAGCTCTGCAATCCTAGCCTGCTGATTATATGATTATCTCTACCACGTGTCACGAATTCCAATGGAATGATCTGTCCCACTCTCTCGTGCCACCATTCGCTCCCACCCTCCTCTTGTCTTGTTCCATTCCCTCCCCCTGTCTCATCCCCATCCCTCCCCCCCACCATCTCATCGAGGTGACCCTAGAGTCCCCTGGCCGTAGACTCAAAGGTCCGCTTCCCTGTTCTCTCTCCCCCCCATCCCTCACCCCCACTGCATGCAGGCGTACGATGCAGCAGTGGGCGACATCACCATCACCTCCGACCGCGCGCTGCTCGTTGACTTCACACAGCCGTTTGAGGTGCACACACGCACACTCCCCCCTCCCCTCCACCCCCCCTCCCTCCCGACCCCACCTCTGCACAACCGATGCATCCCCCGCTAGGGCTAGCATTTCAGCCTCTTCTGTTCTCCCTTCCACACTATGCTTCACGCTCCCTATCCTCATACTTTCGTCTTCCCCTCCCTCCCGCCCTCCACCCACCAAAACTCCACCCTCCCCTCTGCCAGTCGTCCGGCCCCTCCTTTGTGGTGCCAGTGCAGCGGGCAGCGCCCAACACGTGGGCGTTCCTGGCGCCGTTCACCCCACTGTCTCTCACCCCTCCCTCGTCTCCCTTCCACAAGGTAATCATTCTGTCAAAATTACCCCGCCCCCTCCCTCTCCCCTCTCTCCCCCCCCCCTACCAGTCGTCCGGCCTCTCCTTTGTGGTACCGGTGCAGCGCGCGGCGCCCAACACGTGGGCGTTCCTGGCGCCGTTCACCCCGGGCATGTGGGTGCTGCTGTACGTGTCCTTCTTCTACACCGCGCTCGTCGTCTGGTTCCTTGAGCACCTGCAGAACGAGGACTTCGGGGGCAAGCTGCACCAGCAGCTCGCCACCAGTGTGTGGTGCGTGTTGGTGAGGGGGGGGTGGGGTGGGGATCAGGGGAGGGTAGGGTTGTATGGTGAGTGGGGAGAGGAGGGGAGGGGAGGGGAGGGGAGGGGAGGGGAGGAAGGGAAGGGGAGCGGAGGGGAGGGGAGGGGAGGGGAGGGGAGGAAGAACAGAGGAGGGGAGGGGAGGGGTTACAGGAGGCATTGGAAGGAAGGCGCTTGGCGAGAAGGGATGTTTGCACTCCATCATATTTCCATTCTGCCGCACCTGAAAGGACCGCGTTCTTCTCACTTCCCTCTCTCGCCTCCTCGTGTATATTCCCCTGCCTCTTCCCTGCTCCCCCCTGCTCCCCCCTCCTTCCTCCCCCCTGCTCCCCTCCGTCGTGCAGGTTCTCATTCGCCACTATGACCTTCTCCCATGGTACGTCCTTTTCCTCATTATTCTGCCCCATACCTCTCCCTCCCTCCCTCCTCCCACACACACTCCATATCCCAACCCAACCTTTCCTTCCTCCCCCCCCCACCGCTGTCTCTCCTGCCCTCCCTCCCTCCCTCACACATGCAATCACACCACACACACTTTCCTTCATCTTGCTTTCTCCACCCTTTTGAGTTGACTCAAAACCCTCCACCCTTCGCTCTCCTCCTCACCTCTCCCTCTCCCCCTCTAAACCCCATGCCCCATTCCCCCCCTTCCCCCCCTCTCTCTCAAATGCCCCCCCCCCCCCCCCCCCCCAACCCTTCCCCCCCCTTCCCCCCCTCTCTCAAATGGCTCCCCCCCCACCTTCCCCCCTCACCGCACACCAGAGGAGCAGGTGCGCACGACGCTGGGGCGGACGGTGGTGATAGTATGGCTCTTCGTGGTCTTTGTCATCTCCTCTGCATACACTGCCAGCCTCTCCTCCGTGCTCACCGTCTCGCAGTCCGAACCCACCGTCTCGGTATGCCCACCCATCCTCTCTCTCTCTCTCTCTCAAGCGGTCCGTTTATTGTTGGAACCCTGGGTACAAGCTAGGCAGGTGGAGTGACAGCAAGGCAAGGTACGTACGAGCTAGGGGACCCCAGCCTACTCGGGCTCTCCGAGGGGCTCTGCCACGGCAAAGCAGTCCCCGGGAGCCATCTCGCTGTCGGGGGTACCCACGGGCATGCAGGGGGCAGGGGAGGCTTCGTTAACCTTCCCCAGGTAAGCTAAGGCCTGCGCCCGTTGGAGCGTCACCGACCAGCGCTGGCGAAACTGGTGGAGCAGTTTCGCCGCCTGGTAGGAACTTGGGTCCGCATTGAAGAGCCTCCGGGCCCCAGTTTCCGCGAGCAGCTTGAAGAAGGTAGGGACTTCGGCGCAGGGGCAGCCGTACGTCTCAACTGCCAGCGGGAAGAAGCCGACATAGGGGGCCCGGTTACGGTAATGCTCTCTCTCTCTCTCTCTCTCTCGAACGGTCCTTCGTATTAACCTTATCATGGGTACAAATGGCATACACATGTGTATGTTAGACATAGGGCTCCCAGACATCCTACTGTTGCCCGGGCCACCCCTCGAAGGTAGGTTCAATTGTCGATTCAAGCTCTTCCCAGGTGAGCGGCTCGTCCATTGGACGCTCGTGGTGGAAGGCTCCCCCGGACGCTTGCCCGATCTTTGCATGCAAGGTAATGGCTTGTTGCCGTTGTAGTGTCACTGACCACCTCTGTCGGAATGAATGTATCAGCTTCTTGGTCACTGCGGACTTTTCGTCTGCGTGGTGATTCTCCCGGGCGGCTACTACCGCCAGCAGGCGGAGGAGTTCCCGGGTGTCGCTGCTGCAGCACCCGTATGTCTCTGTTGCCACCCCCAGGACTTTGACGAAGGTAAGTCTTTCGTCGTACAGGTCCCTTTTCTTCTCCTGCATCTCAGCCGCCATCCATCCTGTCTCTCTCTCTCAAGCGGTCCGTGTATTTCTGAAACTTGGGTACAACTAGGCATCGATTGGCAAGAAAGGCACCTGGGTGTCTCTCTCTCTCTCTCTCTCGAACGGTCCTTCATTGCTGGGAAATCCTGGGTACAGGCGAGGCATATAAGGTGGGTACAAGCATGCATGGTATTCTTGGTCTAGCTCCTAGTCCCCGGCTATTCCGTTGGGTGTTCAATGACCGCGAAGCAGTCCCCAAGGGACATGCCCGCCTCAGGCGCACCTAGGGGCGGCCCCTCAAGTGGCGAAGCCTCATTCACCTTCCCGAGGTAGGTGAGGGCTTGACCCCGCTGGAGGGTGACAGACCAGCGCTGGCGGAACTGGCTGAGCAGTTTAGCCGCCTGGTAGGAGCTGGGGTCGGCATTGAAAAGGCGGCGGGCGGCCGTGTGTGCGAGGAGTTTTAGGAAGGTTGGCACTTCGGCGCATGGGCAGCCATACGTCTCGACTGCGAGAAGGAAGAAACCGACGTATGCTGCCCGGTGGCGGTATTCGTCGATCTTCTTGTCCGCTTGTTCCCGGGCCATGTAACCGCGGCCTTTGCGCGCTAGCGGGTCCCAGGAGCTGACTGGGTCGGTGACGGTGACATCACAGATCCAGACGACCCCCGAGTCCCGGTCACGTATGGCCCGGTCGGCGGTCTTGCCGTCGACAGGGTTGTAGATCGCCGTTTCTTTCGTGACTATGAGCTGTGCGTCTCGCCCCATGCGCACGCACTCATCTCGGAGGGCGTTGTGGGTGTCGGTGCGGCCGTGTCCCGTCCCACAGCGGAGGAGGTGGTTTGGTAGGGTAGGCGGGGGTCGATGATCGCGACCTGTTGGGCACAGTTGCAGACCCTGGGTGCCGGGAAAGGGAGGCCCATACGAAATGCCAGAGCGATGGCATAGTGAGGCGGTGCCAGCCGAAGAGATGGGAATAGGGGGATGGCGAGGAGCCAGTCGCCGGCGCCGTACCCAGTGAGGGAGAGGAGCCGCTGGGTGTGGCCGCTGAAGGGGTTGGGGTCCATCTCCCTTGACGCAGCCAATTGTCGGGCGAAGCGGGCTGCGTGTACCTCCAGGGCCAGCCGGTGCTGGAGAGGATCATCCGAGGGCTCAGCCCTCTCGGCCTGCAGGAGTGCCAAGGCTGGAGCTGGGAGGGCCGACTCGCATTTCGCCAGCCAGGTATGGAGACGCGAGGGTCCGATGTAGGGAGGGGCCAAGGAGCAGGCCGCTGCAGCGAGTGGGCCTGTCGGGTCCGAAGGAAGGGATATGAGCAGTCGGTGGGCCTGTGTGACGCTGGTGAGGAAGGCGTGCGGCCCCTCTACTGCGGGGTCCGCGAGGCCAAGGCCGCCAAGGGAGGGGGGCAGAGAGGCTTGGTGCCACGTGCGCGATCGCTCATGTTCACCCCGTGGGAGCTGAAGTTTGCACGAGAGGAGGAGGGTATGGAAGAGCTTCTGTCCCCAGTTGGACCATTCCTCAGGCGGCAGCGAGTCTTGAGACGCAGCGGTGGAGGAGAAGGCCCGCGGCCTGGGGGTCCATGGTCGCCAGGTCGGGGAGCGGTCTGGCCATGTCGGCCAGCTGCTCCCGGAGGAAAGCGGCTGTGGCTTCAGTAGGGCCGAGATGGCTCCCGAGGACGCGCAGACCGTCAGCGCGGAAGGGGATGCCAGGGGGGAGAATGGGGCTGGGGGGCTGGGAAGCTGACCACGCCGCGCACTTGGAAGGGTTGTGCGCAAGGCCCAAGGGGCGTAGGGCCTCTGTGAGATGTGTGAACGCCGACGCGCATTCCGACGGCTCTCCGAGCAGCGTGATGTCGTCAGCGTATGCGAGGCAGAGCACGCTAGGAAAAGCCGAGGCTGTCGCCTGGAGTGCCGGGTGTAAAGCCGCCGCGAGGAGCAGGGGGCCCATGGGGTCCCCTTGACGAACACCCTGGGCACTAAGGAGGGGTTCGCTGCCGAATCTTGCGTCTAGGTAGAGGCGCGACGGTGCTCCGTAGGAGAGTTTGACGAAGGGGAGAAGCGGCCGGAGGGGCGAGTTGTAGAGGCCCGCCACTATTGCGGCTCTGTCGACGCTGTTGAAGGCATTCGACACGTCAACCTGGGTACGAGGGCGGTCGGAAATTCAGATGTGTATGCGCGGGCTCCATGGATGATCGCCTCGCCGCCCGCACGTACTGCTACCCCGAACTGCAGCGGGAGGAAATGAGTCTGCGCTTGTGCCGTCATGGTGAGAAGGCCCGCCTTCGCCACGGGGCGGTGGAGGCATTTGCATATGGCGATGGGTCGCGTGCCGCCTCCGGGCTTGGGAAATGCTATGAGGCGGCTAGCGGTGAGTAGGGCGGCGATTTCTGCGGTGGAATCCCCTTTGAGCAAGCGTAGTGCAAGCTCATGAAGTTTGCTAGCGACTGAATTGTTAGCGAGGGCAGCTTCGCGAATGTGCTCGAAGCACATTCCTGAAGGCCCTGCGCCCACTCCGTTTTCGCAGCGACTCAGCAAGCGAATGAACTCATCCTGCGAAAACGAGGGACCCGCCTCGAACTCGTCAAGGATGGGCCAGGCGATTGACTCAGTCAACGGGGCGGGGTGCTTGGACTTCAGCGCCTCGAGGACGTCGGGGGTTGAATCGCTGACCGGGGTCGAGTCCAGTGCCAGCAGGGCACGTCGGAGACTGCCACGGCGGACAAGCCCCTCTGCTCGCTTTTGCCTGCCGATGGAGTCTGCCGCGTGGCGAGGTGCGGGGGGGTTATGCACAGCGTCGATTGCTGACAGGTACAACAAATGCCATTCGCCCGCGAGGAACTGCTGCAGTCGTTTTTCCACTGCGGCCCAGTCAGGGTGCTTGGGCGAGTGCAGGCGAAGGGTTAGGCGAGGGACGAAAAGTAACAGGCGCCAACCTGCGAGGCTGGTTGGCCTGTGTGCAAGATGAAGCAGGGGTGTCAGAAGTGCCAGAGCGAAGAGCTGACGAAGTTTGGGGAGGATTCTGCGGGAAATCGGGGGTTGGCGACTATCGCATAGCAGGTCGATATCCCATCCCGCCACCCCGGCGAACAAAGATTCGTTGGACGACAACTCCTGTGGCGAGAACTGCCTGAGGTTCGGGATCGCTGGCGTAATACTGACGCGGGGGGTACGCGTATTTCGCGCACTCCCTCTGGCAGCCTGGGCGGGAGAGTCCACCGGCTGTGTGCCCACAGGTCCTTGTCCGCAGGATCTGAGCGATGGGGCCGGATTCCCGCTTCGTCTGCTCGACAATGCTCTCTCCTCCAGAGCATCACTGGACTCCTCCGTTGATGATTCCTGGAGCCTCTCCGGTACATAGGTTGTGTCTCGTCTCTCTTCCTCGTCAGTTACCTCCCTTTACCCTCTCTCTCTCTCTCTCTCTCTCTCTCTCTCTCTCTCTCTCTCTCTCTCTCTCTCTCTCTCTCTCTCAAGCGGTCCGTGTATTTCTGAAACATGGGTACAACTAGGCATCGGTTGGCAAGGAAGGTGAGTACAAAGTGCCTACGCACACAGTGTGCCTATGACCACTCCAGTACCGGCTCCAGGACCGCGAAGCAGTCAGCTGGAGAGAGGGTCCCTTCAGGTGAGCCGATGGGCAGGTGTTCTGCCTGGGCCGCCTCGTTCACCTTCTTGAGGTAGGACGCGGCCTGGCTCCGCTGGAGGGCGCAGGACCAGCGCTGGCGGAACTGGTGTAGGAGCTTAGCCGCCTGGTAGGTGGCTGGCTCCGCATTGAAGAGTTTCCTTGTAGCCGCCTCGGCCAGGAGCTTGAGGAAGGCCGGCACCTCCCAGCAGGGGCAGCCGTATGTTTCTACGGCCAAGGGGAAGAAACCGACATAGCTATGTCTCTCTCTCCTCATGCTATGTCTCATGTATGTTCTCTCTCTCTCTCCCCTCATGCTATGTCTCATGTATGTCATATCCAAATCCATACCCATACCCATACCACATGTTGCACGTCATAAAACGTGGAATTGGTTGTGCCCCCATAAGCCGTGCTGAGGTCGTATGCTCTCTCCCTCTCCCCATAAGAAAACGTATGCTCTCTCTCTCTCTCTCTCCCCTCATGCTATGTCTCATGTATGTCATATCCAAATCCATACCCATACCCATACCACATGTTGCACGTCATAAAACGTGGAATTGGTTGTGCCCTCATAAGCCGTGCTGAGGTCGTCCTTCAAGGCTCGCGCAACGTGGCCACCACGCGACCTTTGCAGGCGCCACAACTTGTTGATGAATGTCTCAAATACCTGCACCGCCCCTGCCCCCTCTTCCCGCCCCTTTCCCCCCCTTTCTCCCCCCTCTCCAGGGTCATTCTTGCAACTGCTGCTCGCATCTCAAGAAGGGTGAGATTCAGTTCAGTCTCCAAGTTGACGTACCAGTCAGTCACCTCTCTCTCTGCTTGCGACTCCTACTTTCAATCTCTCTGCTGCTGGCAGGATTTCAAAGCTCTGCAGGCGGGCAATCAGACCGTTGGGTACCGGATGGGCTCCTTCGCATCCAGCTACATGCAGGGCGTGGGAATCAACGAGGTCAGTCATTCCCCTCTCTCGCTCTCTCCCTCTATCCACTCTTGAGTGACTTTTGAGTCGTCTCAAAGGCTTCGCATCCAGCTACATGCAGGACGTGGGAGTCAGACTTTGAAACATGTTAGTCTCACTCTCCTGCTGAAGTGAAACTGCCCCTCTATCTCCCTCCTTCGGACATTGCTCCAGGGCACAGGTGCCTCAAGTTCACCACACTGCCCCTTCTTCTAATCACTGCTTAATAAAACACTTCATTACTTCAAATTCGAACTGCCCCTTCATCGCCCCTCCCTCCCCTTCCCCCACACCACTCTCCGCTGGTGGGCATCGACCCAAGGGCGATTGAGATTCAGTAGTGCAGGGTTCACAGCAATTCTTGAAACTCGAGCCTCAACCATCACCTCCAACGCCTCCCCTCCCCTCGCCCCTTCCCCCGCCCTTCTCCCCATGGGCAGTCGCAGCTGCTGGGCATAGGCCCTGAGGGCGACTGGGACGCGGTGGTGGCGGGTTTATGAGAAAAACATATTTGTATTTTATCCCCCACCCCCCGTCACCACCCCCCCTCACCCCTCCCCTCCCCTCGCCCCTCCCCCCCCTCTCCCCCCATGGGCAGTCGCGGCTGGTGGGCATCGACCCTGAGGGCGACTGGGACGTGGTGGTGCAGGCGCAGCAGGTGGCGGTGGTGGTGGACGAGGAGCCGTACCTCGACATCTTCCTCTCCGACCACTGCTACTACACCAAGCCGCCACACGCCTTCGCCACTTTCAACTTTGGCTTTGTGCGTCCATCGCTGCTTGATTGCTGCAGCTGCTGCCATGGCTGCTGCTTGCTGCTCGCTGCTTAAGCACCTCCTTTGTACCAGCCCTGTGCTCATCGACCTCTCACTTGCACCATTCTTACAAGCAAGCAACTGCTGCTGCTGCTCCATTCCAGCATCCTACTTACATCCTACTTACTCCTCCCAGCCGAGCAGAAACCCCCACTCAACATCACCCTGGCTGGCTGCCCATTGCTCTCTGTGCACTCTCCCTCTATCTCCGCATATCCTGGCCCCATCCTACCAGGCATCACCCATACTATGGTGGTAGTAGCACTCAGCATCCTTGTCCACGCATACCACCCAACGCGTCACTTAACATGCCATGCCACGTCTGCTCCTCTCCTCCCCATCACCCGCACCTGCTGCCTCCCCCCACGCGGCGCCACGGCGGCTCGTGTATTCACTGCAGGCCTTCCAGAGGGGATCCTCGCTAACAGCCGACCTGTCGCTGGCGATCGAGACCCTGGCGCAGAATGGCCAGCTGCAGTCCCTGCACGACCTGTGGCTCCGGGTGAGACAAGTGCCTCCGGGTGGGACCTGTCACTCCAGGTGGGACCTGTGACTCCAGGCGGGACCTGTGACTCCAGGTGGGACCTGTGACTCCAGGTGGGACCTGTGACTCCATGCGGGACCTGTGGCTCTGTCTGACTCTGAGCAGGGAACTAGCTGGCTTGGGTAAGACAGGTTTCTTGCCCAAGTTGGGAAACCGGCTGCAATTGGAGGATGAGCAGAGCTCTGTTGTTGTTGTTGTTAGTTGCACCAGCAACTCGAGGCACCTCAGTGCCCAAGTGCCTGAAAGGGGTATTGGAAAGCAGTGCTTCCTGCTGGTGTTCCTTCCTTACCCTCCTTCGTAAATGTGTCATGCATCTCTTGCCGCCATCATCTGTTCCCTTCACATGATTCACATAACTGAAATCTCCAGCACATTATATCCAATGTGTCGCCTTCACTCCCCCCACTCACTCCCCATTGTCCCGCTAAATCTCCGCTTCCCAACCAACCACCCAACTCCCCTCCTCCTCCTCCTTCCCCTTCTCTTCTCTCATTCTCCACTGCACTCATTACATTCAAGTGCAATGGGGTGCCGCAATAGGGTACATTCAGAGCAATGGGGTACATTCAGAGCTAGAACCATATTTGGGGGCACCGCAAACCGAAACTGAAAACACCTCTATCTTCTCCCCTCTCTCTCCCCCCCCTTCCCCAACCCCCCAGGGCAAGGGCACGTGCAGTGCGGGGCTGGAGCTGGAGTCGATGCGGCTGGGCCCAGACTCCTTCTGGGGGCTCTTCCTGCTCTACCTGCTGGCTGCGCTTGGCAGCTGCCTGCTCTACGCTGCGCTGCTCGTCTACCGCGGCCTCAAGGCCTTCCGGTGGGCACTCCCTACCCGCATGCACACATGCTTGCAGGCAGGCAGGTTTGCAGGAAGGCAGGCTTGCAGGCACGCATGGGCTGCTTGTGTGACTCTATGTGCATCGTGCGTGCATTCTTTGCGGGGTGCTTTCCCCATGCATGCATGCATCCAATCAAGCAGGCATGAATCATGTCTGGATGTATGCATGCAGGCATGCATGCCTTGAGATGACCTTTCAAGATCGCTCTGGCTGTGACCTCTCGTCCGTCCGTCCGTCCGTCTGTCTGTCCGTGCTAGTGCTCCTCTTCACTGTTTCCGTCTTCGCGTTTCGTGCCTCTTGTTTTGCCCTGTGATCCCCTTGCGCTGTCAATCCTTCTCAAATCGACTCTCTCTCTAATTGGCATCTCTGTGCTCTCCCGGTCTTCTCTTGCCTCCAATTTCCATCTGATGGGGATAGGGACACTCACCAAATCCTTTGGGGCGTAGACCACCCATTCATTCCGTTTAACCATTCTGTAACCCAGTCAACCCATACTCCAACCAACGCGCCCTGGAAACTTACCACCTGCCACCGAACGCCTTCCTTGGATGCACTGCCTTACTGCAGGCAAGCACAGCAGCAGGCAGCGGCAGAGAGGGAGGCGGCAGAGCAGGAGAGGCAGGAAGGGGAGACCCCTTGCCCTTCTGCCACTGTGGTGCCGGGCCGTGCTGCGACAACGACCAAGCCCCGCCGGCTCAAGAGCAAAGTGCGCCACTACAAGAGCGCCTACACCGCGGTGAGTTGGAAACGGAGTGAGGAGGGGAGGAGGGAGGGGGGAGGAGGGGAGAAGAGGGATGGCGCTTGGACACGGAGGAGAGGAGGTGCGAGGAGAGTAGGCAAGGATTCAGGCAGGAGGGCAGCAGGAGCAAGAGGGTTGCCACGCTCCTCCACCTCCTCCATCACGCTGCCACTTGCAGCTCCTGTCTGCTCCCTTCCCTTCTTTTGTCTCCTCTCCCCCAGCCCAGCCCCTTTTCCCCACCTCCGCCACGTTCTCTTGCATGGATGTTTTCCCGCCAGCGAGTCGTTCAAGTCTAGGTTTGAGGCGCCGGATAAGTAGCCCCACGCTCCCCCGCATACATCTATTCACATAGCCTTAGCGCGGCTCAAACCACGCCGACTCTTCCTCATTCCCCCGTCTTCCATTTTCCACCTTTTCCCGTCCTCGTCCTCTCTCCCGCCCTCATCTATTCCCCCACACCCCTCTCCCTTGGCTGCCACGCTCTCTCTCCTGCTCGTGTGTTCCCTTGCTTCCCCCCAGGGCGTGGAGTGGAGCATGCAGCGCAACATCGGGGTATCCTCCACCCCTCACATCCCCATCTTACACCCACACTCATCTTCCCCCCCCCACTCCCACCCCCCGGCCCCCTGCCTCAACTTCTCCCCCTGCCACTTCCCCCTCTCTCTCCCCCCCAGGGCGTGGAGTGGAGCATGCAGCGCAACATCGGGGTGTCGTCGTCCGCGACTGACAGCAACCCCTCCATGCACTTTGATGTCTCGCACATCACCTACTCCTCGCACGCCCCCCAAGGGGCGGACGGGCTCTCCAACGATGCCACCGCTGCTGCTGCTGATGGTGCTGCTTCTGATGGTGATGGTGGTGATGGTGGTGGCGGCGGTGGCTCTGGGTCGGATGGGGGTGGCAAGGAGGGGGAGCAGGGGGGTGCGGGGGGGCTGGGGGATTCGCTAGATGAGCAGCTGAGGGAGCTCAGGCGAAGCCAGTTTGCCAGCGGTAGGTCGTCCCCGTGATCTTGGCACTGCTGCGCCTAAGGGAATGAGCTGGACTGGATCCTTTCACCAAGGAAGCCCTGCCTTTGCAGGTGTACTAGGTAGTACCCAGGGAGTTTTTCAATATGGTATCCGGTTCAAAATAGCCTGCGGGGAGTGGGTCGGCTGTGGGTGTGAAGGTGTTTTGTTTGAGGTTGGCTTCGCTTTGCTTCAAGGGTGAGGATATTCGATACTGGGTATGCAGGATCCAGTACTGGACCTATTAAGGCATTTCGGAATGTGTCGTTGTTTTCGTGCTGTATCCCTCCCGACCTAGATATATAGCAAGCCTGAACAAGAGGGGATGGATGCAACTTGTTTCTTTGGCACACACCATGCCTCATCCCACCCCACCCCTTCTTTTGCTTGTAACATTATCGAGTACAGTGTGCAAAGCAATCGTATGCTTGTAGTGTAAGGGTGCGTTCTCCTTTAGACTGTTCCTCCTGCGAAGGCGGCAAAGCATCCACGTCACTGAAGATCTTTCGCGAGCCGGAGTTACACCAGCAAAGCATATCCACATCCCCAGATTGCAGCAGCACCATGCGAGCGACACCCTTTTTGGCGGGTTTTGCGAAACCCACGCTTTGTTACCCACCTCGCTTACCCACCTCGCTTTTCTTTCCACCTGCTCTCACCCACCCACGCATGACGACAGCAAGACCAACACCATCCGCTCTCCTCTCCTCACTTCGCATTCGCCACTATTCCTCCGCCCCTCGGATACGCCTCCTCCTGGCATTCCTCTCATAGTATCCTGCGCTTCTGGCGGGGACCCCGTCTCACCTGGAGCTCGCATACAATACAGCCGACATTTCCAGCTTACTGTGTTTTGAAACCTCCCGCACCGGGACCTCCGCATCTCTCCTTGCTTCCGAGATTTCCTGCGGTGTCTCCATCTCCCGACCATCCCTACGCTGCGCGGTGGTCTGTCTGTCTAACGCGTCTCGTCTCGTCTCCTCGACCTCGTACCGTCCGTCGTGTCCTTTCGAGGCTCTGTCTTCTCGTCTAATCTCCTCGCCACTCCCCCCTCTGCTTCTCCTTGTTTGCCGTTATTAGTCATCCATGCGATGCCTCTACTGCGAGCAACAGCAATACCACCAGCAGTCGCAGTAGCAGCAGCACCACCATTAGGGATGACGCTGCTTCCGCCTCAGCAGCTGTCCCCCCCGCTTCCGCTTCCGCTTCCGCTTTCGCTTCCGCACCCCGTGCCCTTCCAATGCGCGGCCTCCGTCGCCGTTTCCCCGCGCCATTCCTTCCGCCGCGTCGTGTCGGTCCGCGCGGGGAGTTCCGACCACCTTAGTTCCCCCGCTTCCGAGCCCGCGGGGCTTCCGCTTTCTCCGCGGGCGCAGAGGCCGCGGAGACGCGGCGGCGGAGCAGCTTCCTCCAACGAAGCGGCGGGGGGAGCGGCGGTAGGGGCGGGAGCGGCGGTAGGGGCGCGACTAGAGCCGGTAGCAGCGGCGACAGAAGGCAAGGGTGCGGTTGACGTTGATAGTAGCGATAGTGATCGCACCGACGGCGGCAGCGACGGCGGCGGCGCGCCGACTAGTCCGCATCGGCAGCGACGGGGGGCAGCCGACGCGGCGCCGGCGCCAGCGCCGTCGCCGGCGCAGGCGCGGGGGGCGCCTCCGCGGGGGGGATATGCGAGCGGACGGGGGGCCGCGGGGAGAGCGGGTCGATACGTGCGGTCGGGCGCTCGCGCTCCTTCCGCTGCGCCACATGCTGCTGGGGTGACGGCAGGCACGGGGAGACTGGCGGACGGTGCAGGAGGTAGGCGCAAGCAGAAGCTTTGGGTTGCATTGCTCTTCCGGCTTGCTCCTTGCTCTGGGAGACTGCTTTTTAGGGCTGCGTTCTTGTGCTTCTTTTCTGGACTCAACGTTAACGAGCCAACCAGGCACAAAGCACTGTCAAGCTCCAATTTGTCCCCTCCTCCCCTCGTCCTCTCCCCCCCTCCCCCCGCTCCCCACCCCTCACACTCTCTCTTACAGACGCGCACACACATATACCTGTAGTCCCCGTCTGAGCTCATATCTTTCTCCCGTAACCTCCTTTCCTCTCCTTCACACCCCTGCACATTCCCCTCCCCCTCCCACCCCGCCTCCCTCCCCCCCGCCTCTCTCTTCCCCCCCCCCCCCTCTCCCCCCCCACATTCAGACCGCCACGCCCCTGCCTCCACGCCCGCCCACCGCCGGCAAGCCGCCACCACCAGAAGGCCCTTCCACCCGCGCTCCGCGCGCTCCCCGCATGCTGCAGCGCCAGCGCCCTCTGCCGCCTCGCCAGGGCTGCCAGGTGCTTCCTCAGGTGGTTTCGCCGCCGCAGCAGCCACAGCACATGCAGCAGCAGCAGCAGCGGGGTCGACGCCCGCTGCAGTGGCTGCCGCTTTTGCGGCTGCGAGGGGTGGGGGAGGAGGGGACGGGGAGGGGGTGGGTGACGGAGGGGGGAAAGGACAGGGGAAGGGGGAAGTAAAGGTTAAGGGAGAGGGGGAGGGGGAGGGGGAGGAGTCCGGTATTTCCCGTGTGATTGCACTCGGTCGAATGGGAGGAAAGGAGAATGGGCATGGCAAGGCGAGGAGAGGGGAAGAGGGAGGGGAAGGGGGAGGGAACGCGGGAGGGGAAAGTGGAGGGGAAAGTGGAGGGGAAGCGGGAGGGGGGAGTGGGTTTGGAGTGGAGGAGGGATGGGACATGGAGTTCGACCATCAGGTGGAAATGGACCTATCGGTGCCTGCTGACGTGGCGTGGCAGCTGTGGGTGGATCTGGAGCAGGCTCCCAAGTGGTAAGGGGGGGGGACGAAGGGTGGGTGTTGAAGGGGGAGGTATGAAAAGGGGTTCTGATGGAGAACTGGGACGTGAAATGAAGGGGGAGAGGGAGAAGGGGGGAGGGAAAGGGGGATGGCAACAGAGTGTGTGTGCCGTGCTGCTGATCTGTCACTGGTAATGTTTCCCTGGCATAAGAGTCTGTAGGATGGTGCTCTAGCCAACGCGCTTCCGGTGACCCTGTGCGTGTGTGTGTGCGGTCTTTGTTCCCCTGGTATTCCTCGCTGTTTCGCCTGTGGGTGGGTGGGTGTCGCTTTGGTGGCTGGCTGGCAGGATGAAGTGGATTCAACGGGTGGAGCTGCTGCCTGCTAGTCTGCAGGAACCTTCAGCAGCAGCAGCAGCAGCAGCAGCAGCAGAGGCAGCAGCAGGCACTCGTACTGATGATCTCGTATCACGAGCAGCAGCAGCAGCAGCGGAGGCGTCTGGCAATCTGCAGCACCGCATTCAGCTCTCCAGATGGACCTGCTGCACCACTGGCTTTGAGGTGCCTCCCGCTCCTCCCCTCCGCACCTCCCCTCCGCTCCTCCCCTCCACTCCACCACTCCTCCCTCCCTCCCTCACTTTCCCCGACTTCTTCTATCCCCCCCTCCCTCTCCCACTCCTGCTCCCCTTGCCTTGTTTCCTCCCCTTTCATCAGTCCTCCCCACTCCTGTCCCTGCCCTCCTCCTACCACATTAGTTTTGAGGCGCCTCAAAACTATACTCCTATCACGCGGTTTTTGAGGCGCCTCAAAACTAGACTCCTATCACGCGGTTTTTGAGGCGCCTCAAAACTAGACTCCTATCACGCAGTTTTTGAGGCTCCTCAAAACTAGTTTCCTCCCCTTTCATCGGTCCTCCCCACTCCTGTCCCTGCCCTCCTCCTACCACATTACCACAATGGCAGCGCCACTGTACTCATTGACCCAGCTCCCATGTGGCCTCTAAATCCCCACGCACCCACCCTTCTCCCGTGCACCTTTCACCCCCCTCCCTCCCTCCCACGTTCTCACCCCTATGCCACGCCATTCTCCAAATCCCCATCCCCCTCCACCCCCCTTCCATGCCCCAGCCCATAGTTTCCCAAACCCCTCAACCTCCAAATCCTCCTTCCCCCCCCCTCCTTCCCCTCCCTCTCTCCCCCCCCCCCCCCGCAACCTTCCTCCCCCCTCCATCCCCAGGTGTCCTGGACGGCCCGTGTGATGCGGCTGAGCGACTCGCCGCCCGACCGAGTGCTGACGTGGCAGACTGTGGAGGGCATTCCGTGCCGCGGGCAAGTCACCATCCGAGATGCCGCCAGCAGCAGCGGTGAAGGGAGTGGTAGGAGCACTACCAGCAGCAGCAGCAGCAGCAGCAGCAGTCGGATGGAGCTTCTTGTGAGCGTTATCATGTTTGTGCAGTAGCGGTTACCCCTCCTCCTCGCTTGTCCTTTTTCCACTCCCCTCCTGTGCCTTTTATTCCTCTTTTTATGGCACTGTTGCTGCTTCTTCTCGAAGCCAACCATTCAGAAGCCAATCTATTACATATTGTATGTCACAACTTCCCTTTTTAAACCCATCCCGCCCACATGCTACGTCAGTAGCAGCACTAGTACACCTTCATATCAGACGCCTAAAAAATCGTTTCGTGCAGTAGTAATAATAACACAACCTCCTCTAGCTGGTGCTTATCTCTTCCAGCATGTGCATCCCTCCTCATCGCACCCCACCGCATTGGATACCATGCCACTCATCCATCCGCCCCACAGCATCCATCCATCTCACAGAGCTCATGCTCTGATTTCCATTGCATGCATGCTCAGTGGTACACTGCCAGAGTCATCCCATGCCATCCCCTTGTGCATGTATTTGCCGCATGGTGTGGTGGTTACCACATGGTGTGGTTACGAGTGCAGATATGGCACCAGCTCCCGGGGTCACTGGCTCGGATCATGAGTGAGCGAGCGCTCTCTGCTCTCATTCAGGTGTGCCTATGGCGCCTACTCTTGCTGCTGGTTGGCCACCCCCATAACACGCTGAAGCATTCCAGCTGCCGTAGCAATCTGGTTGTAACAGTATGGGATTGAACTTAACTTTGACTTTGCCCACCAGTTGTCGTAGCTACAACTTACAACCTCCACTCTCGTTGCTGCCTGCCACACTTACCACGTGCCACACCAACCCCGTCGCCCATTCTCCCCTTCCACATTCCTTGCTCCCTCCTGCTGCCACCACCCTGCCAACAATATGTGCTCTCATCTCATGCCTCATTGCCATCCCGATGCCTGCCAGGCCACACTAAGGAGCGACCTGCAGAGATTCGAACAGGTAAGGATGGGATGCTACATGACAGAAATTGCTGAATTGACCGAAATGACTGAAAGGAGTGAATTGACATAAATGACAGCAATGACAAATGATTGAATAGGCAGAAATGAGTGAAATGACAGAAATGACAGGAATTACTGAAATTACCGAAATGATTGAAATGACCGAAATTGCTGAATTGACAAGAATTACCTAATCGACATAAATGACAGAAATGACAGAAATTACTGAAACGACCGAAATGACTGAATTGACTGAAATGACTGGAATGACAGAAATGACTGAACTGGCAGAAATGACAGGATTTACGGAATCGACAGAAATGATAAAAATGGCCGAAATTACTGAAATTACTGAAATGACTGAAATGACGGAAGTGACAGAAATGACAGAAATCACCGAAACGACAGAAATGACTGCGTAATGTCCTGAGCACAGACTTGTATCATGACTGACAGCCACTGCCACTGTGCCCGACTTGCTGTCTCCATCAGCGGATCCCTTTCCCCTGTCTCACTCCTGACCTGCCACCCCCCTCCCGCTCCTTTCGTGCTGCCCTTTCTCCTGTCTCTCCGTCCCGTCCGCACGCATATCTCCCGCTCTGCTCCACCTCCC